CTCATCAGCATCTTCACCTGGATCGGTTTTGTCATCGCCGAGGCTATTCCCTTCTTCAGTGACTTGATTGCCATCACATCCAGTTTGCTGAACTCAGGCTTCACTCTGTACTGGCCCGCCGTGATGTGGTTCATGCTTCTAAGAGAAGGAAAATGGTACAGCAAGAAGAACATCCTTTCGAGCGTCGTCAACGCCATCATCTTCATCATGGGCCTTGTCTTCTTGGTTGCTGGAACCTACTCCGCTGTCGTCGATATTGTAAGTCAGCTCACATAAACGTCTTTGTAACATCAACTAACATGATTCGCAGATCGACCAGTATGATCACGGAACTGTCAAGAACGCTTTTACGTGTGCTCCTCTTGGCTAAGACGATCACAAACGTGGTGAGTGGTCAGACACAGCCGGTGACGGGGTCGAGTCCAGTCACTGAACTTTGGGATACCATGTCACACATATTTCCATATCCCACCTAATACAACACCAAAACACCATCGTAGGGGCCATGCGTAAACGTAGGCGTGACATGTACTTCGTATACAAGCATTAGTTCTCTCTGAGCATGTTTGCTTGAAACATTTTATTGCTCTATGTGGTATACGAAACACGTACGACGTTGCATGCGCCCATGACCATGGACTCGTCCCTGATCGTGACTAGTACACTGCTTCATGTCGCATAAATACTGTGGTGGCATGGAACAGAGTAACTCGTAGCGCAAAGACCACCGGTCATGGTTCACAGGTGATGGTGATGCTTCGATTTTGGTGTACGCTCCTCTTGATCTTAGCATTCTATCGCTCTCAATGAACCAATACATTCATTCTTTTCACAGCTTGGCCTGTTCAGCTCTTGTCAACTTCCTCAAAGGAGGACCGCCTCGACTGCCATCACCCTGCTTCACCATATCCTGCCCAGTTGGCGCTCGTAGCCTCCATTTATGTCGAAGCTCCTTAGGAGCCTTATCCTCGAAACAATCAACAACATATCTTCCAAGCACAGGGAGAAACTTGAACGCACTACATCATCGTCAGCAAAACTCCACGTAGACTTCATGGGGTAACTCACTGTCCAGCACCACCGGTAGCAAGAAAAAGACCCTCGCGCACAGGATGATGGTCCACGATAAAGTCTCCCTCAGGTGTATCAGAGTACCAGCAAAGCCGTGTTCTCAACCACTCCCGATCCGCAACCTCAGGCACAAGATCTTGTAAGCCTTCACGAAGAGCTTGTAGGGCATCTGCAGGTAAGTAATTGGTTGTAGCGTTGTTTTCATCTCGTTTAGGGGATGATACTACTCGAGTTTGTCCAAGAGGATCTTTAACCTCCACTTCAGTGGCCCATCCGTAACCGTGGCGAGCAATCTTGAGAATGTGTGTCTTGGGCGTGGGAGGAAACACAAAGACTCCTGTGCTGAGATTAATGATGACAGGCATGTTCTTGAGTCTCTCTGCTTCGTCGGCGGTGAGGCGGATGAATCCGACTGGTTGTCCGGAACCAGATGAGGCGTGGCTTATGGGTAGGAGTCTATTTGACCACGCTCCAGTGGCTATAATGACTTGTGCAGCAGGGATAGTGTCACCTTCTGCGACATTTACGCCCGTGACTCTCTTGTCGCTGTAACGTAGTGATAAAGCTCTTCCTCTTGCGCCGGTGATGAAGGACACACCAGCAAGAGAACACTCAGTAGCTAGTTGCTGTATACTAGACTCGGCATCCGCCCACCCACCGGTCTTGTTGAAGTACGCCTTCTTGCCATCAAGCTGAGCCTGAACAGCAGGGAATTGTTTTCGAATATCGTGTGCATTCTCATACTCCTCCAGTGTTCCGCCAAGGGTCTTGTTCGACTCTCTACTCTTCTCAACAAAGGAGTTGCCAGAAGCATCAGTGAGCATCACAAAGCCCGACTGATGGTAGTGCTGTGAATATTGACCGGTCCAGCCCTCGAGGGCTTCAGTTGCCATCTTGCCGTAGAAAGGATCAGCATATTCCACGCGAATCACACGTGAGATATCAACACTGCTTCCGTCCATCACAGGCGGTAGATATCGGTCTAGGACTGTGACATATTGATAGCCTCTCTTCTTGAGTTCAAGGGCAGTTGAAAGGCCAAAGACACCAGCGCCTACGATGACGACGGGCTCATTCTTTGATGCAGGCGTTCTAGAAGTCATTTTGAGGTTGAGATAAGAGAAACTAGTGATAAGAACAAGTAATTATCCGGAGAATGAAAAGAAAGAAACAAGAAGCCCGTCTTATAGTAGACAAGGGACTTGTATAAGTCGATGTCCAAGACGGAAAACTGGTCTAAAACTCCGTGTCCAGAGCCATTGACCAATCGTGTTTCACCGTCTCATCACCAACGGGCACGGAAAACTACCACGACAATTCTCCGGTCAACGACTCACTAATAGCACTATCACTAGAACAACTCTCCAAATCTTGAGATACATACAAGGGGAAAGCTCTGGAATTCGGTATCTTTTTAATATTCAAGAGCCAGTATTTCGGAGTCATCTGTAAGCTTCTCCAAATCGAGTCACGTGCACTTTTCCGTCTAAATGTGGGCACGGAGAATCCGTATCTCGTCCTCTTCATCTCAATTACATATTGTATTGTATAAGCTTCCCATGAATGCTTGTTCAACAGCCCCACTGTCGACTACACAATGACAGGTAATCCCGAATCATCCGTCCGGCGTGCGTGCGAGAGCTGTCGGTAAGTCGTATGATGTATTTACAAGGGTATCTTTCTAATCCGGGAGCAGACGGAAGAAGACGAGGTGTACGGGAGAAAGACCTGTGTGCTCTTTTTGTGAGAGGCTGAATCAGCCTTGTGAATATTTACCTAGGAATCGAGAGACTGTGAAGCGGAGAAGGAGGACTTCTAGAGCGTGAGTTGTGATCTTGGCTGAATGACTTGTCTTATGAGTGACTAGGAAACCGGGTTTGGGGGATCATGTTTCGAGTGTTGAGAATCGGGGTGATGAGGTATACGATCTTATTCAGTAAATGATACCGGGGTTTTACTGTTGCTGCAACGGCTAACAGATATAAAGTCATCCTCAAGCTGCCTCATCAAGCAATGGCTCAGTCTTGACTCCGGACTCCCTGCCTAGGCACACAAACAGGTCGGGATCTTTCGTCGAAAGCGCTTCAAGACGGATGAACAGAGTAAGCATCAATGACGAAGTCTCAGTATCATGGTAAGATAGCCTTTTTCTATCTTATCATACATTGCCTTACATTTACCAGGCTCCCTTCAGCAACAGAGGCAAGACCATCGCCAGATTCACTCGACCGTGCTGTAGAAGAGTACCGCAGACGGTTATACTTCCAACCACTGCCTCTCTTCAATCCAGAAGGTCTGAGAGATCGCATCGAGAGATTTCCCATGTTTCTCCAATGGATCTTCTTAGCACTTGCGCTTTCAAATCTCCCTTATGATTCGAGCAGTGCAAAAGAAGCTGACTTGATTCACTCCCATGCGAGATCTGCGCGAGATATGGTACTCGAACTCGCCATGCGAGGAACAGCTCAGCTGGAAATCTCACAGGCTCTATGTCTCCTTGCTCTGGGTGACATCCTCGGTACCCACCTCGCTCTCTTTGATCACCACCGCTCTAACTCGTATGCAGAAGGAAGACCAGCTTTGGCTCTAATGACAATAGGAGCAGCCAGCAGACTCGAACTCGTCCGCGGAGCAGGCTACTCTGAATCCCCTAATAACCCGCAAGGCGATGCCAGCCTCAGGTGTTACTGGAGTGTCTTCATCCTCGAGAAAGGCTTCGCTCCTCGTTTCACCCTGCTCTCCCAGACACACACCAAACCTGAATATCCTCGCAGCGCAAGAGAGCCCTCACCGCCAGCATATCTAGGCGATGAAGAGTACGCGCCAGATCTAGAAAGTATTCGCGATGACTTGAGGACAGATCCCGGAATAACATCACATGCTGTACGCGCTGTTTCGTTCTGCGGCGACGTTATCTCATATCTTCATGCACTGCATATCGGAAAGGCTGATAATCCTGCTGATACGAACTCCAACTTTTACCAATTGACTAACACATTGTATGATCTCGAGTCTAGACTCGGCCATATACATTTCGTTCGCAACGTGGGCTTCTCGGAACGAACGCCAGAGGAATTCGAAAGACATCGAGAGTACTGGGCGCCCTGGCTTCTTTTCCAAATCACAGCGCATGCAACACAAGGATTATTGAACCACCCATTCATCCATCTCGTCACACTCCGAAGAGCAAACCGACCGTCTCAACCGAGGTTATTCCTTCAACAAACAGTCGATCAAGCCATGTTTCACTCAGCTTGGGTAGCGCGCTTAGTCCAAACATGTATAGATCGTGGATTGATGATATATGACCCCTTGATAGGCGATCTAGTCGCTGCTACGGCGACAATACCGTGGCTTTTCCAGTATGCGAGGGACACCAAAGTCTCAGAAACTTCAAAGGAGAATTACAGAAAATGCATCGAGTTTCTAGAGTCGATGCCCGATCCTTCACCCAGAAGCATACACAAGGTTCGTCAGAATACACGCAGCTACGAGTATATACTAACAATGACAGCGAGAACTCTTACATCAACTACAAACAATGTCGAGCCAAGCCCAGGATAACAACATGATTAGTTTTCAGCCCTCCAAGATCTGGCAGCTCATTGACTCCGATATCATGGACGCAGTAGCGCCACAGCCCACGACGGATGGGACGCAAGGCGGTCAATCCGATGCTTCAAAGACGACTGTCAGTGTGCAAACGACTTTTGTTCACCCTGTCGGTGAAAGGCGAACGGACCAACGACAGACTTCGCTGGGGGACTCGATGACTGCTGATATTTATGAGGGCTTGGAGCAGTATTCTCTCGATAGTATATTCTCGCAGCCTATGTTTATCGACCATGCATGGCTGCATGTATAAAGAGTATTAGATGACTAAATGATAATAGATCATCTATGCACGTCACCCGAAATGTGTTCCTGGCCTATGATGCCCATCTTTGTACAAACTCATCCTTCTTCACACTCTTCGCCAACGCCTTTTTGGCCACAACGCCGTCCAACTTCTCCTTAACCTTATCCACCTCTTGACGCAACACCTCAATCGACCCCTCAAACTCCGGATCGACCATCTTAATCTCCCCAAACGGACTCTCAGCCAATACACTATCACGCAAAAGCTGAATCGCCAATCTCGCATCGTCCAACCTCGAAGTGACACTCGTCTCAAAGCTATCCTGTGCATTGCGCACCACATCTGTAGTTTTGCCAGATCTTTCGGTGAACGCCTTGTTTAGAGCTGATACTTGGTCTTGAATGGAAGCTTCTTCTGCGTCGGGTAGCGAAAGCGCCAAGTCACGCAGAAGAGCTTCAATTGCAGGTTCGTCAAGAATACCGGATGAGCGACGTCTGTTATTGTTGCCGCGACGAGCACCGTCTGTGTTGGCGCGCATACGAATAGGTGAGGGGTTGCGAATGGGCGATGCTGGAATAGCGGCTCTAAGAGACTTCTTCTTTTCTGGGGATAGCGAGGCAGAAACTTCTGCTTTGGCTGTAGCGATGATGGAGGATGCTGCGGCATTGTGGGACTTGAGAGTTTCGACACGGTCTGTGAGGAGTGTTATTCTTTCTACAAGGTAGTCAAGACACTCGTTGACCTATATAGCATTAGCGGCACGAAAGATATGATGTTAGAATGCACGTACGTAAGAAACTGCTACTGCTGAACGATGTATGCTCTGTCCACTCTGAGCATTCGTAGCCTTCAGCGCTGGTTCCAAATGCTGCTGCTCAGCAGACATTTGTGCAACAGGCAAGATTTCCGAGTACAGCGACTCGAGCTCTTCCTCGAGAGCTTTGACATCTTCTTGAGTAGCAGCTTTGACATCCCCCGAGCGCTCCGCTGCAAGGATAGCCTCGAGGTATATTCTATCCAATCTCGTCCTCAACGTCTCAACAGTTGTCTTGATCAGCCTACGCAAATTAGCACATATTGATACAATGATAAGTGGAGGACTTACCTCATACAAGTCTCCCTCAACTTCTCAATCGTCTTCTCCTCCTCTGGATCCTGCTGATCGAGTTCCCACCCAAGCTTCTGCAAACTCGACAGTAGCTTATCATCAGACTGAAAACTCATATCGACCGTCTTCTTAAGATTCGATCGCGAGTCCTTAGCGATCTGCTCCAGATCTGCAACACGATACTCCAAACTCTGTGCCTCGCCATCAACCTACACCACATTAGCAACTCACTCATCTCAAACAGCCTCGGACTAGTCTGTGTTACCTCAAACACCAATTTCTTCAAGGCATGTTTTGTCTTATTGAGACGGACCTCTTCAAGATCCCTCCTCTGAGTCTCCGCCTCGTCCCGCTTCTTCACCAACCTCGCCAGCGCATCACGCTGCTGCTTCAACGTCTCAGTCTGCTTCGATATCGTAGCCGTCGACCTATTCAGCTCTTCAATCGCCGCACGAACATCATCCTCATTCACCGCCTGCACCTCCCCCAAATCATGCAGGTCCGCTAACCTGTCAACCTGCCCGCTCTTATCAAGCGCAGTATACCTAAACCCCCCCGGCCCTCATCAGCATAAAACAGATAGATACACAAAAGGTAACGACTCACAGTGCCAGCTCATCACCCGTGAGGAGGTGATCGCTTCCGAGATGCAGATTCGCCCATTCGACGAATGAAGCGTCTGATAGGGCGTGTTGCACGTCTTCCTTGGAGGCGGGGATGCCGTACGCGCGGGCTGCCTTGAGAAGCAGGGCTTCAGCGCGGTGCTTGGGGCTGAGATCCATTTTGGACCTGTGGAATAGCGAGGTGGCGTTTTTGAAGTAACCGTCCGTGATGGGGTGGTACAGCTACCGTTTGGCCTTTCAGGGTTTGATTGAGTAGCGGTGTTGACGATGACACAAGTCGTCCCTGGGAAAAGATGGAGGTGTTGCTGAGTGCAATGAATAGAGATTGGTGTTGTGGAGGATACTCAGTCAGACGGTGTACTGAGCCTCAAGTGCTGTCCACCCAAACAAATAAATCCCAGCTGAGAATAGATGAGCAACCAAGAATACGAGATTTGGTTTCAAAATCAGTTCACTCAAACGTCAATGCTGTGTCGTGCCGTGGTGGTGATGCTCAAGATAACCTCATATTCAAACAAAACAAACGCCCCAGACGTTAAATGTCGGCCCAAAGATCCCGGGCGGTCAAACAACCCCTGGACCCTTGGCGGCACTTTTTTTCCAGTGGACGTACACCTGAAGACCAGTGAAGGCGGGGCTAGCGTGCCACAGCATCTACAGCGCATCTTACATGAGGCGAGCTTCCTGATGCTCTTTGCAAGAGGCGATTATTGGTGAAGAGGCAAATATTCTCAGATCACAACGGTTGTGCATACGTTCTGGTTATTTAATGCAGGGGAGATGTCCTATTGATGCACTACAAATGCAAGACACAACGGCATGGCCATCTTCAAGAGATGTTTGACAAGATGCTTGCTTTTATGCAAGTCTCAGACATCAGCTTACAATAGTAAAAAATAGCTTAGCAAACACTTGGACACCATCATACTCGTCATCTGCATATATGATACATTCCCCTCATCATCCGTTTAAACCTCCCGTCCCACGTCCCCCCAGCATCGTCCTCCCTGCCGTGACCAAGAAACCGTCACCATCTGAACAACTCTTCCAACCTCATATCCATTGCTCACCAGTACATCGACTCCCCACGGGGAATATAGTCATGTTTCAATCTATTTCTGGCCCTCTCCATCATGACGTTTGGTCAAACAACCCTCGTAACGGGAAAAGAAATGATACAAGATCGAAGAGCACCCTTCAAACGAGAGGGTCTGGCCTCAAGGCTCAAGGCGGTGTTTCCCGTACTTCCCGTTCAATGTGTCAAACCGACGCAAACAAGATATCATATGCAGCCAATCTTACATGGTCGAAGGTGGTCCAATTCCTTCAGACATGCTCGGCAACAGGCCGATCTAGATTGGAGATATGTCGGGTCCCTACATCATCTTTCCAAAAAGAGCTGCACACGTCAACAGATAGAACGATAATATGTTTCAAACAGACCTGTAACTGTGAATATGTGACCGTTGGCTGTAGAATACGCTCTGCCAGTGCAAACCGCCGGCCGGCTTGGCCTTGTCACTGTCAACACTTCTGCTCTCCCCCCCATTCACCCTTTTCCAATCCCTCTTTTCCTCTTTCAACACATCTCGCTTGTCCCTCGAGCCCTTTTTAAACAGTCACCCTTCCGCAAGTCGCGAAAGGGTTGTATTGCATCTTCATGTGTAACGCCTCCAAAACCGCCGACCTTGTGCTTCTTCACCCTCACCAACCTGGCTGTGCTCATCACGTCGACGTTGCAGTTGCAGTTGCAGTTGCACCATGACTACTACCATTAGAAACAACGTTTCTGAAATCCTCCGCTGTCTCAGACCCTCAAATGAAGCTCGCAATCCGCTGCTCTCGAGGCCATCATGGATCAACTCCCCACAATCACTGTTTCAAGCAGCCCGAGACATGTCGCTATCAGATCTCTGGAGGACGCGATTCATCACCGTCGCCAGCAATGTGCTGGAGTTTGGCTGGGTCGTCGTCGTCTATCTCATGAGCGAGGTCATCATATGGGGTTTGAGTCGGGCGTTGGCTCCTGTGCATCTCGAGTTCTTCTCCTCTATTTTTGGCATGGTTCTGACATTTTGCTTCATGGCTGCGGCCTACCTGTGCTTCGCTGCTGATGTTGATGGTGTGTATCGAAGGCACATCAAATCCAAGGTGAGTGAACTCTATTCTCCATCACGGCAGCACTAACTTTCGTTTCAGGTCGACTTCATCAATGTTCATCTTGGCTTGGGCTTCCCAATTCCTCTCGTCATGCTCAACCAGAGCGACATTCTCAGCGGCCGCGATATCGGCTGCGTCGTCGGCAACTTTGGTACGTTTCAGTTCAGTGCAAAACTCACCGAATACCTTTCTTATTGTCACTCCAGTAATCACCAACCTTGCTTCCTGGGCTATGGTCTTTGCCCTCTCGCTTCTCGTTATGAGCTGTGTGGCGCGAATGACTGGTCAAGTGCCCGACGACTTTTGCCTTCCGCAACCTATGACAGGAACTCTTCCCCGGATCGAAACCAGTTGGCTCTCCGACTCAACTCTGGACCAAGGACAACAGCGTATGTTTTGCCGTCGCGAAAAAGTAGCAAACCCGCCGAGAGCCGGGCCGGGCGAAGCAACCTCAGCAACAGCCAGCCAACGATCATCCGTTGTTTCCAAGGATCCGGTTCCCGTGTCACAGGTTTGGCACTTTTGGACGTCCAACTTCCCACTGATCGCATCGTCTCTCTCCATCTTTGTGATTGGAGCACCAGTAGCTGCTGCCACTAAGGATGACCGCATCCTCGATGGTTGCGTTCTCTGGTTCGTCTGGGTACTGACACTGCGACTCCAGCGGGCCTTCAGGGCCTCCCAACTTTGCACTGACATGCCGAAGCTCAAGAACACGATCGTCACGCTTATGAATCCTGTCCTGTTCACGACCCTCCTCATGACGGCATATACCCGAGCCAAAGCGGGTGCATATGGCTACGGCAGTATAGACAAAGTATTGCGCGATTTCAGCGGAGGGACGCCCCTCTATGTTCTTTGGACCTCTGTAGCAACTGGAACACCCCTTTCGGATGGACGAAGCCCATGGTTTGGCGCCGGTGACGCTGCCCTCTCGATCCTCGAATGCGGAATTCTGATATGGGGGTTCAAGCTATACGAATGCCAACGACAGCTCTTCAGTCTCGCTGGCTTCCTCACTATCATCCTGGCAACGGCAGCCGCAGCTGGAAACGTGTTCCTGTCGGTCCTGGGAGGGAAGCTAATTGGTCTAAACGCACCCGCAGCGCTGGCATTCGCTGCAAGAAGCACAACTTTGGCACTTGCCAAACCGGCCATGGAAGCACTTGGTGGAAATCTGGGTGTGAATGCTGCCCTCGTGGTAAGCAACGGAATCCTCGGTCAGCTTTGCTACCCGTTCGTTCTCGACAAACTAGGCGTCAGACGAGAAGATCGTGTCTCCCATTCAAGCGTCAACATATCCGACTCTGATGGTAGAGCCTCACGTCTGAGCCTGAAGCCTCTGCTGAGAACAGCTCAAAAGGATCTGCCAAGTGGCGATGATCCCTTTACAATATCAGCCGGGATCACGGTTGGTATCAACGGCGCGGCAATGGGCGTGTCGTATCTGTACGAGACTAGAAGTCGCGCAGCTCCGTACGCTGCTCTTGCTATGACAGTCTCCGGTGTCATGACGGTGGTCTTCACCACTGTCGAACCTTTCAAAGGCGCTGTGATGGGTCTGGCCAGCTAAAAAGAAATGGCGATAGAATCTCGGCAGGATAGACGTGGTAGCGTTCATGACCTGGTGTTTAGAGTTATATACTTGCTAGGAAGACGGATAGAAAGACAAAGAGCAAGTCTGGTAGAAGCCAGTTGTGGCCGGGTACTGTAGATACTTAGACATGGAAGAATAATGTAGACAATCTAGATTTTAAAAATGCTCGTCTCACTCAAGTTTGAAGTATGACGCCCAAGTCAACCACATATATGTCACTTCAACAGATATCGACAAGGGCGGTCGAGGGGCATTGCGCGAGGACGTCAAGGATACGCTCTGCTTTGTCAATTTACAAAATTTGTCAATTATATATACTTTTCAATTTACTCCAGGCTGGGGAAAGTCAGTCAGTAATGAGTTCAAACCATAGACATTGGACTTACCGCTCAATCAAGTGAAGGCCGCTAGCTGTCTCCACAATTCCGCTCATCTGGCCAGGCTGGAGGCCAAAGGAAGCTTCTTCAAACTCCTTCTGCATGTCTCCCTTGCCAAAGTATCCAAGGTCGCCTCGCTTGCGGGCGGAGGAGCAGTCGGATTCGGTGAGAGCGAGCTCACCAAGTGTGATACTACCAGACTTGATCTTTTGCTCGTGGTCTTGGATGATCTCAAGAGCCTCCTCCTTGCTTCGCGTAATCTCAGCCTGCAGCAATTATGTTAGTCAGTGATCAATGCGACTGTCGAATATAGTGGTTGGGTATGCGCACCTCTCTCCAGCTGCTGGGTCGTCGACTGTCGCGGTGCTTGACTAGTAAATGAGCAGCACGGATCTTGCCCTCGGGAACACCAGCAACGGCACCGGGACGAGAGCCAGCACTGTGGTTGGTAGCCATATAATGCTTAAGCTTCTCGGTATCGGTGCCGGCGGGAGGTTCCCATCGTGAGAGCTTCTCGGCAGAGTTGAAGTAGTAGGGGAGGTTCTTGGAGTTGGAGTGTCGGACCTCCCAACCCGGAGGAAGACCAGTATCAGCCTGCAGTGTGTATGTTAGAAGATGAATTGAGTCTGTGAGTTGGTTGACGCAGCCAAGGGAGGGGGCGGAGAGAGGTCTTGAAGGATCTGCGACAGCTGTCGAGGCTTGCTGTTGGGCTGCTTACCATGTTTATATCTGTTGTTGACTTTGATGAAGTGGGTGTAGGCGAAAGCAAAAATGAGCTGTGTTCAGCGTCGTCGTCGGGGTATCGATCGTCAAAAAAGTCGCCTTTGAGGGAAGCAAAAGTTGCAACTCGAGAGATGCGCTGCGAAGAGGAGTGATGAGATGGATGGGCTACCAGTTAAGGCATGGTAAGCTGGAGCTGATGGAGCTGGGTTGGGTCTAACTGGAACAATGACGTGCCGTAACTTTACTGTACAACAGCCCGAAGGACGGGAGCGACAGACCCCCCGCGGTTGCCATGCAGCGTTGCTGTGGTGGGCGGGGTTTGACGCGGGGTGGCCCTGCCTTCTTTCAGTGGGTGGGTGAGCTACCCGACGCTGTGATTGGCTCAAAGGCTTGAAGCGCTGCAGCGACTCAACCTCTAACAAGCGCCTCAATACGCCCTTAGTTACCTCTCTTAACGAGGGATATATCCAACTCGGTTGGTAATAACCCATGCTTACTGGCTTTAGATCATGGGATCAGTCTTTAGTGCATGCTTAATCAAGGGGTTACTTGTCACCAGACGCTCGGCATCGTCGAGCTAAAGGCACATACATCTCCGGAGACCTTCTAAGCCAGTAATCTTCCAAGGTGCATACAGGTTATAGAAATAGCATCCGGACGGCATTCGCGAGCTTTGACAGGAGGGGCCCCAGATGCAGTATCAACATTCAACGGTGAACTTCGGAGGTTCTGTCCATCGGAGCCTTTCACTGAGCCAGCTTCTCCGCTATCCCTCCCACACAGCACCAGCACCAAAGGGAAAATGCGGAGGTGCGCTTCCATCCATTCGGAACAACCTGCAGATCTGTCAATTGTCACTAGCCCTGAACCTGGCTCGGATAGTTGAATGTGGAATAGAACAACACGGAGATGCCAGCCAGTAAATCGATAGTCTACAGGTTAAGTGGCTAGCTGAGTCTATCATCATCTTCACGCGCAAACTTTGACGGAAGAGTCGGGCAAGTTAATCACGAATAATTAGTAGGCAAACGTAATTTTTCTTTGCTCCTATTAATACTAGATTTACGGATCCAATATGTAATAGAAGGGAGGTAGGCGTTGCGAAGACTGCCATCAAGATCAGACTAGTACACCATTTGCCATAAGCTAGAGGTAGACAGGCCAAAGGAGGAAAGAAATTTCAGAACCTCAATCCTGAGTTGCCTAGGTAAACTAGCATAAGTTCAGGATACATTTGCATGTTAAAAACACATAATTACGTTGGGCCGCTGAATTAGAAACATGTATTCAATCTCATCATACAGTCAGCTAAGAGATTTGGGACAAGGGCAGATAGTGAGACATGTCACCATGCTGCCACTTCAACAGAGACGTAAAGCTTTCTAATAATACAGCCAGAAGAGATATAAAGGCAGCACTTGCAATTTGAAAAAGTGATTATCCTAGAGAGCCATGGTACCACGACTCGTTGACATCTCAGAGTCAAAGAAGATTAGGAATTAAAACCCCGCGGTTAAACGTTCATTCGATCGCGCTGTGGAATCATCCTCTGAACATGTGTAACTGGGTCGCCAACTCTGCAAGTAATGGCTAAGTCACCAAAGCTCTTAATTCACCTTCAATATCCTTTATCTATGCAAGTTGGTGGTTGCCTTTTGGGCAAATGGTATCACCAAAATTGAAAGCCATTGTGTAAATACCTCTACGCGTGGGGTTGCAAGTGTGGTTTGTTTGCTGACTGCAAAGACACTGACGACCTGAGTGAGGTGGCCAACGCAGGCAGATTGCGAACAGTTCACGCAAGGCAATAACGTATTCTATGTATTTCATGATCCACCCCGGCTTGAGGTTCACACGAATCACTAAATCGCCGACCTTCCAAACGGCAGATCGGACAATTTTCTCTAGGCCCATGAACAACTCCCTGCCTATTCACCAGCATATTCCCTCTCGGCCAATTACGAATTCCATGGCCTACGTACTCTCTACACGTGTACGTGCCTGCGGCCTTTTTCGTGTTGATCGTGTCTCAAGTTCCGCCTTGGTACGATCGTGATGGTCTCGTGGACCTCACGTAGCCCTCCATGTGCCACTTATTGATCACTTGTCAACGCCTTACCCAGTTAATGCTGTTTGAAGTGGCAGAGAACCATGTTCCTGCGTCTTGTTTCTAGTTCCTAATTCGAGAGATGTATTTTTCACGCATATTTCTAACATGCACGTCACTCTAGTTTACTCCTCGTTGTGACGGAGGTTACATTGTGCCTGATTAACGCACCAGTGATGATGTGAACATACAGACACCAGCCTCGTTCCGCCGGACAAACCTCCGTAGCTGTTCAGCTTGAATGAATAGCATCATCCAATAAGAGCTCCTTTCAAAGGATTCACAGCGATGTTGTTTTACGCACGCGTAGGTACCAAGTATTTCGCTACCTCATGATTAGATGACTCTAAGGCATCACCGCCTCATATCCCATAGAGTTGAGGATGAAGACGTGAGTCACCGCATATAACCAACCCCTGTCGATGAATGAAATGTCCCCAGTGTTTTGCCTTGCCACTCACAGCGTGAGACCGTGAAACGGTGAAATAGAGATAACGAGTCAGCAATAACAAGGCGCGGCAGAGGGACATAACCCTTTCGTCTCGTTTCGATTGTAGACGGCCCACGTGTGACAGTACACACGAGGCCACTGAAGGAGAACGCGCTGAATCACCCACTGTTTATGCTGTGCCTTGGTTTGTTCAAGTCACTTGCTGTTTATGCATTCCGTACAAAACTCAACCGACGCCAACACTGAAGCCTTGTTCTTTTCTTCCCTCCCTCTGTAATTTTACTATCATCTGGTGTTCACGAATCTACGGACTTTGAACAGCGCCCGTCAATCACAAGCCTGCATAATCACCAATTTCTCAGCTGTAAAGCCTCTGAATTTGTGGCTGGCTGCCAACTGTCTATAAACCCAACACAGCCCAAGCCCAAGCTCAAGGCACCAAATCCAAAAAAAACCAACAAGCAACCAAATTCAAGGACTTGCACAGAAAAGTGGGACAGGAAAACCAGCGGAAGCCAGAAGCCCCTCCCACTTGAACTATTTTCCAGCCCTGTCGCCTTTCATCCATCACTTCTCACCTTCTTTCTTCTTCAACAACAGCACGACCTCTATTCTAGAGCGACAATCGCCATCTCCCATTCACAGCTTGGAATATCTATTCGATATTTCAGCTCTCAAATTTGTTTTTGCTTCTTGCATCTTCATAAAAAGCAACCAAGCATTCTCTTCAAATTGAACCACCCATACAACCACCACCCGACCGACCAAATGGCTACCCCCCAATCCACCACCTCTTACGAGGGCGCCGAAGGCGACAAGAAGCTTGAGCAGATTACCTTCCGATTCTGCTCCGAATGCTCAAACATGCTTTATCCCAAGGAGGACGAGGATGCTCACAAGCTTCAGTTTACCTGCCGAACTTGCCAGTACACCGAGGACGCCAAGTCTACCTGCGTCTTCCGCAACGTCCTCAACACCTCGGCCGGTGAGACCGCCGGTGTCACCCAGGATGTTGGCTCCGATCCAACGGTTAGTCATCTTCCACCTGTTCTCTGTTACGGCTGTGGCGGAGTCATCTTGTGCACCTCTTGCGGCCAGCCCGATTGCCAAATGGTCGTCTCCAACGAGAAAGTCAGTCAGCCCATCACGGGCATGTGCCAGTTCACCTTGCCATGGGAGGATTCTTTCGCCGAATACGACGAGGAGATGATGGACGAGGACTACGATGACACAAGGACCGAGTCTGATGACTTCCTCTCCGACGCCAGCGAAGAATTCCTTGAGGAGATCTCCATGTGCTATGATTCGTCCATGAAATGTGAATCATGAGCACCTTCAACAAACCTCGAATCACGACATTTATGTAACTGACGACACAACACGAATGGCACGACTATATTATTCTACTTGGGCTGACTGGCACATGCTCTGGGCTTCTGCATCATTATCCGGCGGCGAGCAGTTGGCGGCCGACCGTTCACATGACAAAGTATAAGTTGGAAACAGCAGTTGGAGCACTGGGTGTCGCGCGTCTTCTTTGGAACCCGCTTGTCATCGCTTAAAGACTGCTGGCTGACTTTATCTCTTTTTTTGCGCGCTGCAGCTCCCGCGATCTACAAAGACCTGCCCTAGTTGCCAGCACACCGAAGCTGTGTTTTTCCAGTCCCAGCAGCGAAGCGCTGAAACTGGCATGGTTAGTTGAACTCTCTCACGTACGTTTCAGAGGTCAGCTCACTAACGCCACGGCAGAAACTCTTCTACGTCTGCTGCGAGTGTGGTCACATTTTCACTTAAGCGAAACCTTGTATCGATACCCGGGCGACGAATCGTCGACGCCCAAGTTGTGGAGGATACTCGCATCATCATTTGAATTCGCAAGGCGTTTTTAGAGAGGGTTGTGGCATGGTTATGCCACCGGCGCCAGGTTATAAGGAGGGAAATGCAAATTGTATTCTATCAATGATCCTGTATAAGACTGCTTAAAGCAGCGAATAAGATTTAGGAGGAGGGTCACAAATGTACCAAGCTTACCCAGTTCTTTCGTCGTTTAGGATTGGGGGTTAAGTTTCTTATAACCTTTCGTAGGAGGGGTAAATTATCAAGATGCGTCTGCAGATTTTTAATCATGCAAAATAGGTTTCTTACATTAAATGTTTCCAAGTTATGCAACCACGGTGATTCTTAGTTTTGAGAGCTGAAAGGTGTCTGTATTTTCGTATCAACGCCTCGCAAATGCCAAATGTAGTAATATTCGTAATTGTACAGTATTCCACTCGTACACGGCTGTATGCAGCCAAATCATTTCCCCTGGTCTATCCTGTCTTTTGTAAATAACCATCCACTCATCACCCTGAACTCCTTGTCAATTGTTTATGCCTGCATAGGCGCCATTGACAGAATCTTGCTCCACTTCTTGCGCTTCAACTCAGCGCCAACAGCACCGTTGATACGTGATCCCACAGGATCTCCAGACTTGTTCAGCAGCACACAAGCGTTGTCGTCGAACTTGACGACTGAGCCGTCTCGGCGCTGTGTAGGGTATCGGGTTCGGACGATGACGGCGTGACGGATATCACCTCGCTTGACCTTGTTGGCGGCAGAGATACCGGCCATACCACCAGAGGAGCTACCACGCTGCTCCTGCACGACGACGACGACACGGTCACCTGAGGGGTGTTAGCCAACTGTTGCATTATTTCGAGAGGATCGAGTGAGGTGTTCGGAAGGGTGTATCGTACCGATTCGGGCATGTCGTTTTTGGCCGACGACCAAGACGCATTCGACAAGGGCAGCGCCCGAGTTGTCGATGCAGTTGAGCATTGTCTGCCATGATCAGTCAGCAAGTGATTAGCAGAATGGGAGGGATTGAGATACCTTTAACTGAATCATCTTGGCTGTGTTCCGCGCGCGGGGAGGTTCAATACTCAACTCTCACCACGGTCTAAATCGGGATATCATCAATCGCCCAGCCTGTCGTTGAATTTTTGGGCTAGCATCACGTGCGCAGAGCCACAGCTCAAGCCACAATGGTTCCAGCGGAACCCAATGGATCGGATCTCAGCTGGGGTAAAGAAATCTGGAGATATCGTGTCGTCTTATCATGAGATTGTCTTTCTGACTGGCCTTTGACGGAACAATGCAAAAATAGCATCTCTTCAATACTCATTTGTCCTATACATCACTCCCAACAACCAAGAAAGACCTTTTGATCATCGTATCCGTGCCATGGCTTGACAACTTGAGCTGATTTAATGTTTGAGAGTGATTTCCTAGGCCAACACAGCCCCACCCGTCGCCTAGCCAATGCCCCAAACTGGCCTCGATCCAGGGAAGAGGAACAAAGCAAGCCCCCCCTAACCTCGAAAGCACCCGAGAGAGCTGCAACCATGTCATTCCACCTTGAACATCACTTCCCTCCTTCAAGCCTGATTCCTTGAAAGGCACCCGCACCACGATCTTTTACTCACCCAAGTCTCAGCCTCGTCTGTCTTTGTTCCATCGATAAACGGTCCTTACCTATTTAAAGAGACGGAACCTATGACGTTGCGGCACTGAGTTAGCTGAGATCCAACATAAAGCGCTTAACTTTTGCTTCTATCTTTTCAACTCCAGCGCATTGCTCTGCAAGATTCGGAAGGCTTCAATTGTGATATCGTCTGGCTAGACTCTCATCCATCGGGCCAAGGATCTACATCTCCGCTCTTTTCTCGCTCGGACTTTTACAGCTAGTTTCGAGGGACACGTACGCTCTTTTATTCCTTGGACGACAGCTTTACGCAGCAGAACTGGCTTAGGAGTGGAATCGAATTAGGCAAAATGCCTCCATCACAGAAAGCGGCTGCCAAAAAGCCGCGCATGACGTTGGCACAAGTGTCAGCATATGATGACATTCTCACTGACGCCCTGGTCGATCATGTGAGTGGTTTACAGCTGAGCATCGTTCATGAGGCAATGCGACTCTAACACAGGCAGGTCTTTTACTGGACGACGGTCCCCAAAAACCGCACATCATATCACCCATCCAGAGGTGTAAGGGAGGAGGAAATCGCCAAGATCTTACAAGAGGAGGTGGTTCTCAAGAAGGACTTGGAAAGTGCTGAGAAACGATTGCTGGCAACAAACGGGCTGAAACGGTTTCACAATGGATTGAAGACCGACAATGAAAAGGAAAATTTCCGACGGCATCTTAGGCGATATGTTCAAATCTACCTTCCGGATTGTCCGTGGGAAGTTAGCTCGACAAACCGATACACAATTGTTACTCACGAGGCTGCCGTAACAGCCAGACGACCAATCCGACGCAACGAGGCCATTAAATATTTATCCGGTGTACAAGTCATTATCACGCCAGAGGAGGAAAGGGCAATCTCATCTCAGAAGAAAGACTTCAGCATTGTGGTCAGCTCACGAAGCAAGTGCACCAGTCTGTTTATGGGCCCTGCCCGCTTTGCGAACCACGATTGCGATGCGAACGCCAAACTTATGAGGACGAGCCATGCAGGAATCGAGATTGTCGCAACAAGACCCATTGAGGCAGGGGAGGAGATTACAGTCACTTACGGAGACAACTATTTCGGGGACAACAACTGCGAATGCTTGTGCAAGACATGCGAGGATCGTTTACAGAATGCGTGGGAACCAGAGGAGGGCACAGTGCCAGTGAAAACTAGTATTGAGCAGGAAAAGTCAGAAGGTTACTCATTACGGCGACGACGCAGAGATGACAGTCTCTCTGGCTCTTCACGGACACCATCGGTTACTCCTGATATGCGACCACGGATTACAAAAGCGACTTCCAGGGGATCAAAGCTGGCCCGCGACTCGTCGTCGGCCAGGTCTCCGTCCACCAATAATCGAAAGCGACAGCATGATAGTCTGGCAACACCGCCCAAGACTCCAGCGAAGCGACAAAAGGTTTCGGCTGAGAAGACTGTAATTATCATCGACGATTCGTCGCGCAGTACATCTGTCACTGCCAGTGAATCCTCAAGTGGCGTTGTCGAGACAGACGTCACTTCGCCAGAGAAGGAGACTCCAGAGCCTCTAGGACATACTCCGTTGAAAGGGAATGCGAACAAGGGCAGCCAGCAGACAGAAGGGGCACCAGTTTCGCCGCAGAGCAGTCAAGGTTCACGATCACCGCAGCAAGCGGCTGAGATGACGAGAGAGAGAGCCCGCCGAAGTGGTCTTGAGAGTATGACTATCCAGGCCATTTTGAACGCTCCTCTAGAGTCCGAGGTTGAAAGTGAACCTGAACCGGAGAAGCTCAAGGAAGCAACCGTGGTACCTCCACCAACCGAGCCTATTGCAACCAGTATCGAAACTGTCGAAGCCAGTCAAGTGGCTGACGAAGATCAGCCAAAACGAAAGAAATATCAACGTCGTGTCTATAAGGAAGATACACCCCCATCTAGAGTGCGAGTGCCAGGAGATTACCTCCTTACACCGCTGCTCTTATCAGAACCGGAGATGGCCTGGATCCAGTGCACCATCTGCGACGGTTACTTTGTACAACAGAACGCATATTTCACACGAGCTTCATGCCCTCGCTGCGAACGTCACTCAAAGCTTTACGGGTACATATGGCCCAAGACGGACAAGGCCGGACCGCACGACAAAGAGGAGCGCATTCTGGATCATCGCACCATCCATCGATTCCTGGATCCCGATGATGAGCGAAAAGTGAGATGTCGCAAGAGTTTTGGAAATCTCAAGACAGACACAGAAGAAACAGAAGAGCCCGAGCGGGGCCGGAAGCGACACAGCACATCAGGTTTGATGGGGCGAAGGGTGCCTTCAACAGAGCAAGACTCAGCTCATCGAAGGAGCGGAAGGCTTCGTCGAGTGAACAGTAGGTTCTTCGACCCATGATGAAGATACGTGGAGAAATGTTGGAAATAATTCGGACTAAACGTGATTTTTTGAGGCGAGCGGGATTCATAATTGTATATCGTATTTTGTTGTAACGGCATTGCTAGGCCAAGAGGTCTAGTTTAGATAACTGACCCACCCTGAACAACGTTATTTATTATAAATATTTCAATGCATCGAAAGAACGAATGCTCATCGCCCGTCGCCCATGTGAAGATTCGCGCTCTGCATACCGCAGATCTGGAGCTTTCCGAAAATTCAACGTCAAAGATTTCTAATCACAACGTCATTGACCCATCATGAACCTGTATATAAATTCCTATTCCCAATTCCCAAGATGATGTTTCTGAAAGATCGTCTAGTATAACATTCTATCTCAACACTCATCACCATGGCTGCATATCTCACCAACCGCATCTGCCATCCTCACCACGGCATTCCCGTATCAAGACCCGAAACTCCTGCCCCCGCAAAGACGGAGAAATGCAGCCATCCCATTGTCAACAAAGCTGCAAAGGGCGTGCCCTTCTTCACCCCCGAGCAGGATCCTGCGCCTGGTCTGGCTATCCAGCCCAGTGATGGGAGACCTGTTCCTCGACTCTTCCAACCCCTCAAGATTCGAAATGTCACTATGCAGAATAGAATCTGGGTCAGCCCTATGTGTCAGTATTCTTGCCATGAAGGGTTCATGACGCCTTGGCATATTACGCACTATGGCGGTATGGCTCAGCGCGGTGTAAGTGGTGTTATAGCAGTGAGATGATCAAAGCTAATCTTTGTAGCCGGGTCTTATGATGCTTGAAGCAACTGCCGTCCAAGCTAATGGTCGAATTACACCTGAGTAAGAACATTTCCCGAACTTGTTGTAGCTCATTATCTGATCTTCACAGGGATGCTGGTATCTGGCTCGACGCCCACGTCGACACTCTCCGTAAGAACGTCGACTTTGCGCACAGCCAGAATACAAACATCGCCATCCAACTCGCCCACGCAGGCCGCAAAGCAAGCTGTGTAGCACCCTGGCTCAGCGCCGGCGCCACAGCCACCGAGGAAGTCAACGGGTGGCCCGACGATGTCGTCGGCCCCAGCGACGCACCCTTCAACGAGAACATGCCCACCCCGCGCAGCATGAGCACCCAGGAGATCAACCAGCTCAAGAAAGATTTCGTCAAAGCGGCCAACCGCGCCGTCACCGCTGGTTTCGACGTGATCGAGCTTCACTTTGCGCACGGCTATCTCGTCAGCTCTTTCCTCACGCCGAGTGTGAACAAGCGAACGGATCAGTATGGTGGAAGCTTTGAGAACAGAACTCGTCTGGCGCTTGAGCTTGTGGAGGAGGTTCGTGCTGTTATCCCTGAGACGATGCCGCTCTTTGTGAGGATTAGTGCGACGGATTGGTTGGATACTAACCCTGAGTACACCGGCGAGAGCTGGACTGTCGACGAAGCCGCAAAGCTTGCTAGCCTCTTCGCTGAGCGCGGTGTCGATGTGATTGATGTATCTAGCGGCGGAAACCACCCCCAGCAGAAGGTGCAAGGCGGACCAGGCTATCAAGCCAAGTTCGCGAAGCACATCAAGAAGGTCGTCGGCGACAAGATGCTCGTTAGTTCAGTGGGCAGCATCAAGACCGGTACACTTGCCGAAGAGATCATCTCTGGGAAGGGCGATGGTGTCAAGCTGGATCTTATTGCGGCTGGAAGGATGTTCCAGAAGAATCCTGGGTTGGTGTGGGCTTGGGCTGATGATTTGGATGTTGAGATCCAGCTTGCGCATCAGATTGGATGGGGATTCGGAGGACGGGCTACGAAGAAGCAGGATCACGTCAAGATGAGTATTCCTTGATTGTGTTTCGGTTGGCATAAAAGGTGGTGGTTCAAGAGTAGAGATGGAAGTTGAACATGGAGGTACAAAAGCTTCATTCAATGCGAGGGATGGGTTGATAATATGCAATACAGAATACACAAATTGACAAATTGATCTCGCCGTTTCCGAACCATACGTTAACTGATCATGTCTGACTGGCATATTTCTGTTCCAGCAATTCCTTCTCCGATCTCCCTTCTTCCACTTGCTTCTCCGTAATCATGGGTTTCTTCTCATCAACCTATAACTTCAACTTCAACAAGCATTCCTTCATTTCAATATCACTCAACTTACCTGATACTGCGCATCAGTGGGTGCACTGAACCGTTTACTGACAGTCGCATACATGTCGTTCTTCCATTCGGTCACACGAGCTTCAAGCCCGATATATAGTGTATAAGCAGGATGCATGCTGAATTCTCGTCCTGACTTGAGATGAAACGTGATGAAAGAGAAGATGAGTTCAATTCAACCACGGCGTCAGCGTAATTAGGCTATGTCAGCACTTTATCTATTCTTGCTCGCTGAGTGAGCTGACAACGGTATCTGGATTGTCCATCTGGATGGGCTGGGCGTAAGCATGGTAGCCCAATGGAGATGAGAGTACAGAGTTGGGGGCTGTTCTGGGTGACTCAAAATGATCTTTATTGTTACGCCGTGTGGTTTTTGGGTTGCACATGGAGGTATGCTTGGCGGTTCTGGACTTGTCAAAAGGGTGGTATTCGGACTAGTATGGATATACTTGTTGCGCCTCTCACATCACAATGATTTTGGCAGCTTCATCCCATCGCCCACTTGACTTTTGTGCAACTTTGCAGCAGCAATGTTGGTTTGTTAGATTTTATTTTCACAGTCCAATAATATAATTAAAGAAAAATAAATTTAAGATAAATATAACAAAAGAAATACTCAAGTTAATTTACTAAATTATTATTTACTTCTCAGCTTTATATATAGATAGCGACTAGATAGCCAGGCTTATATTAAAAATATACTCCTTAAAATTCAAACTTAATCTTTTAATTTTTATCCCCAGACGCCTTTCCCGGGCTCGAACTCACAGCGGTCGAAGTGATAGAAGACTGATGAGGATCTGGATTCCTGAGCGTATTGTGAGAATCTACAGGAAGTGGGCGTCGAAAACTCGGAGGTAGGGGCCAGGGCGGTAGGGAAGCGGCCAGGGCCGGGGCCGGGGCAATAGGACGAAAGACCGAATGAGCATTTTGTAGCCTTTGTGCAAATGGTTTTGCAATGATAGGTGTAGGGTTGAAAGGTCGCTGGCTAGTCACGTCCTGGCCTGCATATGCTGGACGACCCTTTTTCTTCTTAGCAGGAGGCGCTTGTGCGGTATTTGGCTCTTCTTCATAAGCTTTCTGCTTCATCCCGCGCAGTCCTATGTACATGTTCTGAGCTGTCTCCATACACTGAGCCATATTGCGGCCTGTAGAGGATATTTAGTACAGCCTATAAGTAGTGGCTATCCTACTTACCATTCGGGAGTTGCATTTGCATCCAGTTTGGCTCAATGTGACGAACTAGATTCTCTAAATATTGTATATCTAATTGACTGTGTTTAATAATTTCGGCAAGGAGATGTCGCTAGAGCTTAGTCAGTTGAAGATCCTCGATAAGATAGTTTGGTACTTTACCTCCTCCTGTTCATTGAATGGCTCCATGCCGTGAACTTTTGGAAGTGATGAGATCGACGTTCGAAGACTATCTGCTTCCTCATCCCGTTGTGCACTTGATGAGCCAGGGCTGCTATAAGAGGGCGAGGACGGAATATTATGAGTTCGGCGTTGAATCCCCTGTGTTCTATCAACCGACGCCTCTAGTGAAAGACTTGTAGTTGGCGGGACCAGATTGACAGAACTATATGAAGTTGATGACATGTGACGCAAAGCATCACTTTCTTCGAGTCTCGAACGATCCCAGTTTGTACCGAAACTGGTTAACGTATCACCAGTGGTTGGACTGTTGACAAAGGGTGTCGTTGGTGTCGGAAGCTCACTAAAGAACCCCCGCAATAGATCTGTACACATGGAGTCTATCACACCAGCGGTGGGTGTGATACCATGCCTCTCCAGACAAAGGCCTAGTTCCCCAGCAAGTCTGTCTTCTTCGGCTCTGTGGCGGCTCAGGACAACAAGGTCTCGGTATGGCGATGAAGGGGGTTGGCAATGAAAGAGCAGGGCCCATAGTTGGTTCCATTTCTCGACACCGCTGCTGTTTCGCACCTCACTAGATGTCAAAGTATCAATCAAACGTGTGAACTCTGCAGGTAGCATAACAGCGACATCTTTCGACTCAACCGGCGTATACGGACAGCTTAGGCTGATGCAGTGATTATCCAGACTTTCTTCGTCTGGGAACTCTAGCCGGCAAAATGGGCAATAGTGGTCGACTGTTTTCAAGAGGTGTTTTCGTTCGATATGTTGGATGACGTCTTCAAATGTCTTCATAATATAGCTGCTGCATCTTGCGCAACGGTCAGGATCATACTTCTCGAAGGGGCACGCGAATATGTATTCCTGCAGTTCATTGGGGTCGGGGAAGCGTAGATAGCCGTCAGTCTTGGAATGTAGTCTGGGTCGCTTTCCTTCACGCTCTACCTCGTAGACTGGAGACCCCCTACGGATGTTTGGAGTCGTGCTGTTGCCACATTGATCACTTGGTTCTTCATTCTCATCGTCCTGCAGGTTGCTGCTTTTCGGGTTCTCTGATGCTAAAGGATAAGAAGAAGATGGAGACGTATGAAGAATGCCACTCGATTCGCCTTCGGCTTCATCCTGTAGGTTATCGAAGCCGGTCTGTGTGCACTCATCCAAGGCATGAGAGTTATTAGGTTGTTCCGGTGGGTTTTCCCTAAGGAGAGGCATCACCTCCTCACCAATTTGAGCTTTGATATCCTGCAAAAGGTCCTCAATTGTGAGTATATATGCTTCATTCAAGGGCCGACAGACCCCGATAAGGATACCCATGAGAATTCCAGTACCTTTTTGCACGACCATAGAGCCAGAGTCACCCTGATGTATGTTCCCGTTGTTAACCACTCTGACAGGCTGTGGAGTTTTGAAGCCAGGAATTCCGAATATGGCTTCGGAGATAACGGTGCCAGAGATAGGAGCAGAAGCTGTTAGTATTGTGATATCCTTGACTTTGTCGTCTGGGCTGTTGAGTCTACTGATATTGATACGCAAGTCTGGCATAAATTGGCTCGCCTCCGATATCCTGGGATCTAATTTGATCAGCGCCCAGTCGAGTGCACCGAAACTCCCCTGTCTCTCACTATCGCTGCAAGAAACAAAAGCCAAATACCCAATCATAGTCTTCGGCTTACGAAGGTCCCCATTTTCGTCTGAGTATCCATATGAGTCTTGTGGTATCGAGGAGGATGATAGGTTGGACGGACGTTCGGCTGACGGTGTCGATGGGCTGCTGCCCGGTGTGATATCTCCGAGTGAGTTTGCATACTGTGCATCGTCCCTTGCCTCATAACCGGCTAGGAAGTTCAATTCGGATTCATCGATCTCAAAGGTGCCTGGGCTGCACGGCTGTTGAGGATAGATTACATGTGCAACAGTCACAGCGAACTCCTCACCGCCCATAACGATCATGCCGCCGACGGTCGCCTCGCCAACGTATGATGTATTCTTCCATATCTCGACCTTGATGGCGTTGACACGAGTTGGCAGTGCGCTACCAAGAACAAAGACTTTGTACTCTCCTGCACTACTACCGTAACCATTCGTAGGATTGCTCACTTGAAGGTCGTTCGGAGCCGCCACTTCTGGATTGATAGGCAACCTGAAACAGTGCCAGTCGGGAAAGGCATTAAGGAATTTCGCATTTGTGATTGTTGATTTCAGACTTATGCTGAGCCATTCGACCGAAGTGACGATGGTGACAAATGGTGCTGCATGACGTTTCGATACGCCAATGAGGAGGCAGTGGATGGCATAGGGAGGGAGATTGGGTACGGCCTGAGGTCGAGCCAGCAATTCATCTATCAGGTTCGAAAGAGACCTCCGGATATTTTCTGCTTTGGAGGCTAGTTCACCTACGATCCTCCACAGTGTGATATTGTGGAATGGCCTCCTTTGGATCGTATGGTATTCAGCTCCAAAGCAATCCTTGTATTTACTACCGCTGTTACGTGGCATAAACCTCTGGATAGAAAGGCGGCCTCGCTCGACAACTGGGAGCGAGGAAGAATGTGTAGTCGTGCTTGACATTGTACACGTTGAGGAAAGCGGGTTTGTAGCAGCCGAAGATGGCGGCGGACCAGAGCACATCGTTGACTTGATAGAGGCAAAATAACAAAAGAAGCCACACGAGACCTCGAGTCATCCTACAGGGAACTTCAACTCAGCCCCATTCTCCAAATTCAACTCAGAGAAGTATTAGTAGCGCCTGTCTGCCTCGTTGACAGCCCGTCAGAGACGGTAAAAGTTCGATCTGCTGTCGCCAATCACACCACACGCATAGGTACATCAGCCACCATGTTGGGACAGAAGGACAGAAAGAACGACGCCCGTTTATTGGAAACACGTAGCAGAGATCTAAACATGGAAATGATCGGTCATGCCAAAGCCCCTGCCTGCCTGTCCATGAACGACAAGTCCTAGGGAGTAAATATGTTTTTCCAGCCATTTCCTGTATATAGCTGAGGAATATGGCATGCAAATTTTAGATTGATGAATATCATCGTGCGGTCACGGTTTTAATCTATTCTTGCTCCATACCTTAATATTCAGCGCAGGATGGCATCCCAGGGCCAGGGACCACTGCTCAAGCAATGTTTCGATTTTCATCTGCCGCCTTTGGAAACACAAGAACGCTTTATCCAGGACCTATGGCCTAAACCTCCTCCAGTTGCCCAAACTTGTGAGAGCATTAAAGAATGGAATGCATTTTTCAACTACGTTCAGTTTGAGTGCGATCCAAGTCTGGGCCAACGATACTGTCTCGCCACTTATAAAGATATCATTTTCGTCGTAAATATGCTACGGAACTATCCTGAGGCTACTTTTACTGAAATCCGAACTTCTATCGAACGGGCCAGGCCACCAATGGCCCAACAGAACCTGCCCGTATCAATAGAATTAGCAGTTCGACTTTGGCTCATGATGAATGTCCGCAATGTTATGCCTGTTGACTCACATCAACTCCGGACATCGATACCATGGCCAGAAAATTCCAGCCTCAAACTCGTCCTCCAAACCCATTTCAGGGGACGAACGACCACTCCCAGGGGCAGGTTCTCTGAGTATCTCAACTTCTATAACATGAAAACAATTGGAGGCATCCGCGTGGAATGGACGAACAACATTGCACTTCATTTGACGATAAAAGGAACATCCCTCTACGTGTTTCATTGCGTTTCGGTATTAAAAAGAATCCGAGAATCTCACACCGTGATGTAAGAACCCTCCCCTGAAGTTATAAGGCGAGGCTGACTTTCAACCCTTAGGTCACTCCTCCCTCATGATATGATTGACGAAACTCTCGCAACTATCGACTTGCTTGCTCCACTAACGACAGCAAACTGCAACAGCTGGCTTGCAGACGAGATCAAGCGATGGCGACTTGATCAAAACTTGATGCATCGCGATCCTCCTCAACTAGATAGGGTTCGCTATTCTATCTGGCTTGAAAACCTTCAGCAGATCGAAGAAGCCTTTGAAGCGACAAAGCCCAGGAGCTTCATCCAATGGTGGCACGATCGGCGTGACATGCAACAGTGGTGGGGATTTTGGCTTGTTGTTTCAGGCATCTTCCTGACGGTGCTCTTTGGCCTAATTCAATCTATTACCGGTATCCTACAGGTCGTAAGGTCATCATCATAGATATCTACTCAAATTTCTCGGGGACGCCATAAGCGTTGAAGACATCATGATTTGCGCATCTGGCTTTTCTTTATTGCGCCGTTTTAATGACTCTGTGCATACTATTCATCCTGATGCGCACTGGGGTTCAGGGTAGGCGGCTAGCTATCGCCGATCATCGCTAAGACCAGCTGAGACAAATCGCGGGGGACAAGGCACAGAGATAAGCAACGCCTCGGGTTCCTGGCATGGCAACCAAGCTAAGCTACAGTGAGCTAGGACGCTATAGCTCCAGGTCCCAGCATCATCACGTCACAAGCTTGTATCACCTGCGCTCCAGTCAAGTCAGGTCCATCCATCCATGTCTTAACCAGAACCCTCCCCTTCCATCCTCCTCCCTCTCTCCTTCACAACAACAAACCTCAACATGACGACAAAGGGCCTTTGCTTAGTCGCCGCCACGGCCGCTCTCCAGGGCGTGTCAGCTCTTCAGATCCCTCTCAACCTCCAAGTCCCCAAGCTCTCTTGGAATATCTTCGGCGATGATCTTCCTCTGGTAGATACCAAGGAATTGCAGAAGAGCATCAAGCCTGAGAACCTTGAGGCTAGAGCAAAGGATCTGTATGAGATTGCCAAGAATGGAGAGGAGGAGTATGGACATCCGACCCGTGTCATTGGCAGCGAAGGTACGTTCTCCGAAATCGGACTGTTATCATGAACGCAATGACTGATTGTTCTAGGCCATCTCGGTACGCTGTCGTACATCCACGCTGAGCTCGCCAAGCTAGGCGGCTACTACTCCGTCTCGAACCAGCAATTCCCCGCTGTTTCGGGCAATGTCTTCGAGTCGCGTCTCATCATCGGCGACTCTGTCCCCAAGCAGGCATCGCCCATGGGTCTGACTCCTCCGACTAAGGACAAGGAGCCCGTCCACGGAACGCTTGTCCTTGTCGACAACGAAGGATGCGACGAGTCCGATTATCCCGAGGCCGTCAAGGGCAACATTGCTCTCGTCCTCCGTGGAACGTGCCCCTTTGGTACAAAGTCCAGCAATGCTGGTAAAGCGGGTGCTGTTGCTGCCGTTGTGTATAACTATGAGAAGGACGAAGTTCATGGAACTCTCGGTACCCCTTCGCCTGATCATGTTGCTACCTTTGGGCTTGGCGGTGAAGAGGGTAAGGCCGTTGCCAAGAAGCTCAAGGATGGTGAGACGGTCGATGCTATTGCTTACATCGACGCTGAGGTCAAGACCATTTCTACCACCAATATCATTGCCCAGACTCGGGGTGGTGATCCCGACAACTGTGTTATGCTTGGCGGTCACAGTGACAGTGTTGCCGAGGGCCCCGGTATCAACGATGATGGATCCGGCAGTATCTCTGTGCTCGAGGTCGCCGTCCAACTGACCAAGTACCGCGTCAACAACTGCGTCCGCTTTGCCTGGTGGGCCGCCGAGGAAGAAGGTCTTCTCGGCTCCGACCACTACGTCTCCGTTCTCCCTGAAGATGAGAACCGCAAGATTCGTCTCTTCATGGACTACGACATGATGGCCAGTCCCAACTTTGCCTACCAGATCTACAACGCCACCAACGCCGAGAACCCCAAGGGTTCAGAGGAGCTGCGCGATCTGTACGTCAACTGGTACGAGGAGCAGGGCCTCAACTACACCTTCATCCCCTTTGACGGTCGCAGTGACTACGATGGTTTCATCCGTGGTGGTATCCCCGCCGGTGGTATCGCCACAGGTGCCGAGGGTGTCAAGACAGAGGACGAGGTCGAGATGTTTGGCGGTGAAGCCGGTGTCTGGTATGATAAGAACTACCACCAGATCGGGGATGATCTGACCAATGTGAATTACACCGCGTGGGAGGTGAACACCAAGGTAAGTCGCACCCAGCCAATGTCTTGTTCAAAAACCGTAACACTAACACGGAACAGCTCATCGCCCATTCCGTTGCAACATACGCCAAGTCGTTCAAGGGTTTCCCCGAGCGAGAGATTGAGACGTCTGTCCAGGGTTACTCTGACAAGACCAAGTACCACGGCAGCAAGCTCTACATTTAAGGGCCATAGGAAGCTCTATATTTTAAGATTAGCAGCACGAATAGCATAGCATAGCACAATGAGTAATGGGTGATTGATTAGTTTGAATGGATATCTCTACGTTAAAATTGCAAATGCCTAGCTAAATCGACTCCGAGTGCAACGAAGCAAGAAACAAATAAAAACATCATTACACGTAATAACCGTTTGGTAAAATGCCCGTCTAAGCCCTCCAACCGGTCCTGTAGCCAGACGTGGCCTAAAATGCCTCGCACTATTTCCCACCCAAACACCGACTTTGCAAGTATTCATCTAGTAAGATGAGTATCCACTGGGGATAGATTGATAGTTACTGATTGATAATGGGTCTGTCTCATCGAGCTGAAGCGAGATCAAACGGAGTTCCCATCAAGACACCGCCGGTTGGAAACTCACAGCTTCCAGTCTGCGAGGGAATCATCTCGGTGTAGTACTCAAAATCATCACGCAGCTCCCTCAGCTCAATGGGCAGGATGACCTTGGACAGAGCCTTCGGGGTGGTGAGTTTTGAGAGGGTTCCGGAGTAGGGGGCGGGTCTGTGCCCCACATTGGCGGGGGTGATCTCGGGGCTATCGGGGGTCTGGGCTCCCGATCCCGTTGTCTTGGCAGCCGAGGATCCGGGGCGACTCTGTTGTAATCGAGCAGAGAGGTTGACGTTGAAAGTGAGGAGTCTCGTAACGCGATGCGCCAGCTCGTCGCGACTGTTCTTGGCGTCCTTCTCTCCCGGGCTGTTTTTTTGCGTCTTGTCAGCAAAACATGCACTTGTTCACCTAGTGGCCCGTGTGCTGTGTCGCTTAACTTACCAGTTCACTATAGTCATCATCATAGCATACGAAAGATTATGCCATCTCAACCTCGCACACAGCGCCTTGATCCTCTTCTCGAACTGCTTAGCGGCATCTTCAGGCGTGGTCCTATTGGACTGCTCGTCGAGCGCACAGCATAGCGACGAGAGGCGTGTGAAGGCGAGGACGGTGTCTGTGAGGGTGGCGACGAGGGTGTCGAGAGAGATCCAGGCTGCGCGGGCGGGGAAGGGGATCTGGTTGTTCTCGATGAGGTTGAGGGTCTTGTAGAAGGCGTGGACGGAAGATCGACACTCCTTGAGCTCGCGGAGGAGGATGTTGAGGATGGCGGTGTCGTGCTGGGGCGAGATGTTGAGGTCGCTGAGGATGTCGATGGCAGCAGCGCCGACGTCGAGAAGGCCTGTGATGGCTGTTGTGGTAGGGAGGCCGACAACGGCGGGATCCATGTCCATGTCGGCCTGCAGAGCGGAAGGCATCTATCGCGGTATCATTCAACAGTGAGGGAGGTCAAGTGTTAGGTAATCAATCAATTGTCAAAAGAAGCAATTGATTTGTAGTGAAGTGAGGTGAGGCTCAAATCAAAATGCAGCAGTTGTAAGTGATGTAAGTAAATGCCAAAAGGGTCCTGAAGTAGACGGACGGGATGGAAATTCTTGGCAGAGGCTTCTAGGCCCCCTTTGGCTTAAATGGAAGTTCGAGCCAAGGCCCCAGGTCCAGATCAGATCAGCTACAGGAGCACAGCGCGAGAAGAAGCGAGAGGGGGTGGTCTTCTAAAAGCAGGAACCGAAAAAAGCGAGAGAGAGAGATACGGACGGTAGATGTAAGTAATATGTAAGCCCCAAGGCTGGGGGAGGGGGGGTATTATTTTTAGGCGCGAGCCAAGCCAAGGGGAAGAGAAGAGTCCAAAGTCTGGAAGAGACGGCACCTGAAAGGGCCCCAGAGGCGCCGCAGTTTCAAAGGCAAGGCAACTTTCAATAGGCAAGACGATGAAGCCGTACTTCCGAGACAGCAACGGGCTTGTCCACTAGCGGATGAGGGTGGGATTGGGGAATGGCCTGGCCCCCCCTTGGAGAGGAGTTTGTGGTGCCGAGAAGCGAGTTGAGTGACATGCATCTAATTTAGACCAGATATCTGAGTACAGATGTCGAGGTATGAATGGTGTGTGATTATAGACGGTAAAATATCACCATCTCAGGCTCTACACTTACACATAATCTATGACTCTGTTATCCTCTGCACATGATTTCCTCTCTCTGTTTGTTCCTATGCTCACTCGTAAATACCATGCAAACCAATATCAGACTAAAAACTGGGCGTTTAGAAAAGGTGGATGTCGACGTGCCGACTTGCCGGGGTCGATTGGGCGCGATCGGATACCGGCACGGCGCGGTGAGATGATGCTATTTACCCACTTTTCCCTCTGCACTCACTGATCGTGCTCACTGTAGGCACTGTATTTCGTTTATATTTCCAACTATCGGCATATATATTTCGCATTCGAGTCATGGATGGCCTGGCTGATGAATATCACTCTGGAGCCGATATCCGTGTATGTATTCGCTTTTCCTGGATTACGTGGCTGAACTATCCGCATATGTCCTGTCCTTGCAGCCTCAAACGATAGTCCGCGCGCCTAGCTGACGTACGATTGCATAGCATTGCTTCTTGTATTTCCTAATTCCATTGCATGTCACGGGTTTCTTCTTTCAAACATACATCATCATTCACTAATAAAAGGGATCGACTGATACCAATAAACTCAAACGGCTCTGACGGCACATCCGAGCCCCTTGAAACATTTCTTAGACCTATTTGTTTATTCTCCGCCAACATACATACATACATACGTATGCACACTGACTAATGATTCAGCATCGTATCAATCTAATTTATTCCCGGTTGATCCTGATCCAAAACTCCGTTTCACCGAATAACTTCAACTTCAAATACAAATAACTTTTCAGTCTCCTGCGTACTTGATGCCGTTTCCCGTGCCGTGCCGTCCGTCCCATCCATATTTCGGTCCGAGCGTCTTTCGCCTACTCTACCACGGCCCGCATGCAATATCATCATGCCCTTGACTTACACGCGTCTTTCCACAGTGGATAATGGAGGAGATCCTCAGCGCTGGGATACGGGCTGATCAACTGACAACATGTCCTCGTCGCTATCGTCCAGGTCCATGGAGCTCAAGTCCTGTGAGGCACCGGATGCCGGACTGGACGACGATGCAACCGGTCTATTGGCCACAATCCTTCTCATGTGCTCTTCGTGCTCTGCGATATACTCCGCGCGTGTTCGGGGGGGATAATTAGGATCATTATAGTGGGCAGCCTCATACGCATTCGTATCATCAACAATTTCGTCCCAGCTAGGCATATCAGCTGGTCTAGTAAAAGACCGTTCTAAACGGTGAAACATGGGGCTATATTGCGCAAGTATTGCAGACGCCGACCCCTCTGGATAGTTTCGAGCTGGTACTGCTGTCTGTGGTGCTGCAGTACGAGACTGACGTGCCATAGACCCTGCAGCTGTTGACGCTCTTCCTACTTGTCGAGCGGGAGGCTCTGGAGCCCCTGGTGCTGATCCTGGCTCTCCTGTCGCCCGTCTAGTCGCCCATCTAGTTGCCCGTGTATTCGCCTGTCTAGTTGCTGAACCTTCCTCCCGATTGCTCCCAATCTGTTGGACCACTTGGCCGATTCTATCTGTCAGACTCGCAATCTCGTTCGCATCCTCATAATCAGACGCTGCTTGAAAGTTACGAGGTGCAGCTGGTCTGGCCGCTTCAGCTCTCGCTGGAGAAGAATTCCGTTCTAGAAACGCAGACCAGCGCCTAAGTTCTTCAGCATCTGGTGGCTGCCTATCATGATCTTGAGCTGATCTAGCTGCCTGTGCCGCTGCATTTGGAGGTGCAATGCCATCTTGGACGTCAAACGGATTGACATAGCCACGATGATCCACGGGATTGTTCGCCAGCCTGCCCCGTACAACATCCCCGGGCTGAGGCTGTAGTGGTGCAGGCTGGTGAACCTGTCTATCACCCTCACCGAGTAGGAAGGGATTTCGAATCGGATAAGGGACACCGGCGGGAGTGTTTGCATGAGGCTCCTCATCATCGTCCGAGTCAAAGCCGATGATCCCGTGACGGCGGTTCTCCTGACGTTTGGTGTTCTCAGCGTACCATGGATTTGCCTTTCGCAACGTGTTCCCACGACCAAGCGTGACCATGCGACGACTCACCATCATGTTATCAAACTCCTGCATGATGGTGTCGTTAATCGCATCCTGAACCTTCCGCAGCGTAGCAATATCACTACCCTTCTCAATATCGTTAACAACATGGTAGAAAAGGTTGACAAACCCAGGCTCCATGTCATCTAGGTTATGAGGCCACTCACCATTCTCAACGTCTCTGTGAAACTCAACCTCAGCTTGACAGTCAGGACACAAGTCTTGATTGCCCTCAGGAAGACCGGGAGGAAGACTGGATTCTTCGCCATTCTTGGGGATAGCTAGAGCGATGGAGTCCACTCCGCAGCGACTGCAATACAGAGAGGTTCGGCACGCAGGGCACCGGTCTCCCAAGTTACTTCGCTCCCATTGTTGACGGCAAGGTTGGCAGAGAACATGACCGCAGAGCAAGACCTCAGCATCCAACTCACCTTCAACAGGGAAAGATTTCACTGGGAGAGGCTCCATACAAATAGGGCATTGAGGGGTGATAGCCTGGTTGTCAGAGTTGGTGTTGCTGCCCTTTTCTATAGCCTGTTTGATAGTTGGCCAGAAGGCTTCGGGGTGAGGCTTAGAAGTAGGAGACATGGTGAAGAAGGGTACTTACCAGTGAGATGCCTGATTGATAAGCAAGACAGGCTGTAGTTCGTGTTGTGTAGACTTACCTTTTGTGTTCGTGATCTTTTTTTTGGTGTAAGACTTACGTGGATGCGAAAGGTGAGAGGGTGAGATGATGATGGTGATGATGAGATGGATATGCTGCTGAGTAGGCTTCATTCGTTATATAGTCTTATATGATGCAGTCACTGAAGTCAAGTACTCTCAATGTTCACAGCCCATCTTGTGAGTTAAGGCTGAACCGTGACTTTGATGATGTTTTCTACTTTCACTCATGGTTCGGCCTGAACAGTGATGTCGTGACCACTCGAACAACCTCTGTCGCGGAACACTACCCTGGCGTCCATGGTATGGCAACGAAAATGAAATAAACGACCTTGAACATAATAAGCGCGCCAATGAGTATCAATTGCTTCTATCCTTGATCAGAAATCTTTCTATGCAGATGCCCTACTTTTCAGCCTCATTCACCTCCTCCTCTCCCTTTCTCCTCTCAATCGCAATAATCTCCTCCACGGTCTTAGTGCTCACCCCATCGCCAAAGTACCTTTCCGACAGCTCCACACAGCGGAGGTTGGCGGACAACTTGTTCATCGTCTCCATCCACTCATCTGTAGGGTCGCTGTCGTAGACGATGCCACCGCCGGCCTGCATGTATGCCACGCCATCCTTGACCAACATGGTCCGGATGGCAATGCACGTGTCCATGGGTCCTTCATCGACGAAAACCTTGTCCTCAGGCTTACTGCCCTCGTCCACCCGCACAATGTCGTATCCAAACCATCCTGCAGCTCCGGCGTAGATACCCCGCTTCTCCTGCTCCAGGTCGTAGATGAGCTCCATAGCTCGGATCTTGGGTGCTCCAGAGACTGTTCCCGCGGGGAAAATAGAACGCAGGGCATCCCAGCGTGTGCACTCTGGACGCAGAACTCCCGAGACCTCGGAAGTGATGTGCTGAACGTGGGAGAAGCGGTCAATCCTCATGAGCCGGTCAACCTTGACGGTCGTGGGGTGGCAGACTCTGTTCACGTCGTTGCGCGCGAGATCCACCAGCATGACGTGCTCAGCTCTGTCCTTCTTGGAAGCCAAAAGCTCGGCAGCGAGTCTATCGTCCTCAGCAGCATTCTTTCCACGGTGAATTGTACCGGCAATTGCGTGGTTGACGATACGGGGCCTTGATCGAGCTTCCGCAGCTGAGTAGCCAAATCGTGAGTCAGAGGGTAATGGGGCATATCCATCAGTCTTCATCAGACACTCGGGCGAAGCACCAACGATGTGAAAGTCGGCGCATGAGAGGAAGAACACATAAGGGGAGGGGTTGAGTGTTCGGAGAGTTCTGTAAATGTTAAAGGGGTGAAGCTTGGTGCTTCGGCGGAACCGTTGTGAAGGCACGGCTTGAATGATGTCTCCCTTGACAATGTATTTCTTGAGCTCCTTCACAAATGTCTCGTAACCTTTGCGGCCAACGTTTGACGAATATTGCTGCTCTGATTCTGATTGCTCACCAAGAGTTTGGGCAGGTAAGGGAGTCTCAGGCTGGTAGATGATGTCGAGGGTCTTGCGGAGGGTCTGGCAGGCCTCGTCGTAGGCAGGTTGAAGATCGTCAGAGGGGCTCTTGGGTAACTTCATGTGTGTGACAATTGTCAACGTCGAGCGGAAGTGGTCCAAGGCGACAATTGTGTCGAACAACATGAACAAAGCCTCGGGAATCTGGAGGTTGTCTTTGAGTGGTCGCTCGGTCTTGGGCTCGAAGTATTTGATGCAATCGTATGAGACGTATCCAACAGCACCACCAGACAGTTTTGGAAGCGCCAGCGAAGGAATATCGAGAACTCGGTCATTGGAAAGCTCGGCCGAAAGGGTCTTGAGAGGGTCGCCATTGTGTTCGTAGCCGTCACCAGTGGCCAGTACTTTTCGCGGGTCTAGAAGAGAGACTCAGAGGATGTCCAGCACAAGAGTCTCAAAGAAGCTTACTGGCGCCAATAAAACTATATCGTCCAACCGTCTCTGTGCTTCCAGTCGCACTCTCGAGGAGAAACGAGTATTCGGCAGTTGCGCTGTAAGTGGTGAGTCAGAGGACGATTCGGCGGTGGAAGCAATGCAGTCTTTACCCCGATGACAGCTTAAGATAGATCGCTGAAGGAGTCAATAGATCGGCAGGAGCAGAGGCGCAAACGGGGAGAAGCGTAGGTTGAGTTGTAGGAGTCCATTCTTGGTTGAAGGCAGCTCGAGCTTCATCGGCAGTTGGCCGTATATCGAGCTGGTGTAGAAGGTTAGTATGATCCATTGCGGAAGTCTCGGTGAAGTTGATTGACGGCGATTGCGATGGAGAGGTGTTCTTACATGCGCTGCACACATCCTTATAGTAATTATCCCCGAGTATCACGGCAGACTGGTGGCGTGAGGACAAAGAAGGAGAACAATGGAAGTGCTAGTTTGGTGGAAAGGTGTTTGCTTCGGAGTCACTTTTTATCGATTGCCAAATAGACGTCTCAGATGTTAGTGGGGGCGGGGCACCGATAGCGGCAGGTCGGCAGTTCCTGGCGGTCGGTGTAGGGTAGCCATGACGATCATGCAGGGATGCCTTGCGCCCGAGGCATGAAACTGAGCCAACTTGCTTCCGCATTCGGATTAGCGTTAAGTGCTCCAGCCGAAGTTGCCTACCAAGACTGGATCTCACGTTTACGCGAATCCACACGCGCTCAGGAACCATCATTTGAACCATCTTTAAGTCACTGATTTCGGCACCGATTCCGCTCATTTCAAACAATTGACCTAATCTCTCCTTTTTAACTCGACGCCTAATTCATTCGCAATTATGCCTACCGATCAGCACGAGGACTCAGTCGAGCCCACCGGTGATGTTGAGATGTCTGAGACCCAGAACACGCAGGACACTGCGCCAGAGGCTACCCAAGAGGGTGAGGAGAACGATAATGCCGACAACACCGAGCTTCCCTTCGCCGACTCTGAGATCGCAGAGCCACGAGTTACCTTTGCCAATTATCTCATGAGCCCAATCGTCACTCTGCTCATCGGATCTGGCGACCAATCTATCCTCTCAGCGCATCAGGGACTTTTGACACAAAGCCCCTACTTCAAGGACATTTGCGATAGTTTCGTCGAGGACGGTAGCGTTAGTGCTTCAGAATCTTTGCGCCGGCAACATCTGGCCGTGAACCCCTTCTAACTTGCCCACAGCCTCGTCAGATTGAGCTCCCCGACTACGACATCGACACTGTCGGCAGCTTCCTCGAATACCTCTACACAGGCGAATACTTCCCCAAGAAGCTCCCCGGCCAGCGCGTCCTCGAGACCGACCCCTCTGTCCCCTCGGTCGACAACAGCGGCGACCAGCTCCTCAAGCACGCCCGCATCTACACCCTCGCCGAGAAGTTTGGCGTCGCTGGTCTCAAGGGCCTCTCGAGCTCCAAGATCCACTGCGTCAACTCCACCGCCAAGGGCGAGATCGCATACGCTCGCTACGTCTACGCCTACACCAGCAACGACGACACCACCATCCGCGCCCCCGTCGCAAGCTTCTGGGCCACGCGCTCGCACACTCTGCGCGCCGAGGCGGAAGAGGAGTTCAAGGCTCTGTGCTTGGAGCACCCCCAGTTCGGATACGATGTTCTCAGTATGTTGGCCGGGTTGGAGAGGGGAGATTTGTGTGCTAACTTTGTTCAGCCCGCGTCTTGGACGACAAGCTCAAGAGGGAGCGCAACGACAAGATGCACCCCGCCACAAGCAGCGGACGAAAGCGTGCTCGTCACAGCAGCGGATCGCGTGCCGATTAAAGACTCACGCGTTAGAACAATTGGGCCGACGAGATATGGATCATTGGTACCTGCCGAACATTGTTTCTTTTGTTTCCTGGGTTACTTAGGGGCGCGCATTTGTACTGTAACACTACATGGGATCTACACGAGTGCCGTGTGCGCTCACTTGCGAGATTTGGTAATGGGGACAGAAATAGACTCTTTTGAGCTATGGAATTCTTGTGTCTCAACTAAGCTCAATTGCGTACTGTCTCCATCTTCTGCTTCTGACCTAGTAGGAATAAGGGTCAACAGCAAGTTCCGCCAACAAGCCCTCCTGGTATGAAAGACCGTTATCGACCTCCCGCTTCACTCGGTTGTACTGGAGACAGAGCGGGACTCTCCCCTTCATCGAATTATCCCAGGCCTAACAGCATTAGAGACAGTGAACTCACGGATCGTGCAAATGACTTACCATATGCTCCGGTCCACGAAGATGGTCCTCAATATCCTCACCAAAAGCTCTCCCATAGCAAGGTAAGTCCAGGACACGGCACACGTCCAACTCCTCTTCATATTCGAAGTCGACGAAAGAGTTTGGGAGGTGCTTGTACAGTGCCTCGAGGGTATACTTGTCCTCCTCTTTCGCCATCTGCGCACTCTTGGGATCATCGTGTTTATTCCACCGTTTGATTCTGGCGCTGATGAACTCGGAGAGTTTCTTCAATTCTTCGACGTTCTTTTCCGTGATGTTGGGTGGTGTTTCGTCTCTGATCTTGTCCGCTTTCTTGACCTTGAGTGCTTTGATCAGGTTGGCCCTCTCCCTTGAGAGGTCGACTTTTTCTTTCTTGAGTGCGTCCCTTTCATTTAGAATATGATCAAGAGTTTCTTTCTTATTAGGCCGCTTGGTGGCTTTGTAGAGGTCGACCTTGCTGGCCCCTTTTCTCGACAGCATGGCCATTTCCCTGTCGAAATTATACTTGGGATTCTTAGGTTTGGCATCTTGACCTGCTTTGTCATTCTCAAGTTCAAGATCACGGATCTCTTTCTCAATTCTTTCGTTTGCTGTACGCGTTAGTCGGGCTAGAGAAATGATGAGGGAGGAGATACTTACGGATCGCCACGAGACACTCGCGAGTGCAATCTTTGCATCTAGTATCATCGGGCTTCTCTATCGCGGCCTTGCTGTTGGGATATCGCAGCATAGGAAGCGTTGGATTGTGGCGAAAGTAAATCTTTCCGTGTTCATCGCGCCAGACGACTTGCGGTTCAGGTTTGGGCTCATCATCCGGCGGCTCTGGTGGGCGAGTGATGATTTGGATTGTCGGTTCATCCATGGTTACGATGAACGAGTTGAGAGTATCAAGTTGCAGATGAGAGGAGAAAAGTAAGATGATGCAGTCTGCAAGACGGGAGGAAAAGATCAGAGTAGACAAAGGATTAATAAAGTCGTTTGATGATGATGAATCACGGGCTGCCACTGGCAAGTGTAACTCGAGCCAGTTGGCACTTTCGACATCAGATGCGATTAGCCACGAATGCATATAAGAAGTAGAATCCAACTTGAAAGGCGGAATTTCATATTAGAGGTATGAAAGAAAGAAAAAGCAGACGAGGTAAGTGGGCGGGTGATGTAAGTGATTGCTTGCTAAAAGTTGTTTGCGATTGTTGGCACTTCACTCAAACACCATGCGCCCCTCCATGCGCCAAATCAGGATATCATAGTCAGTGACTACTTCAGAATAGAAGAAATCTCAGAGTAATATTGAAACCTTCTCAATCCGTTTCAGTTTGTGCATAATCAACTCATCCTGCGTTGTCCTTGCCTTTGAATTAAGTAAGTAAGTACAGTAATGAGGTAGAGATATTCATCTTCTCAATCACTGTTGTAGCCCCAAAAGAAGTTCCATATTTCTGTAGTCACCGACTTTGCTCGACGTATTGAAGTTTATGAAGATCAACACGATGCATACACGATACAGGTGTCATCAAGTTCTGGTCTCAAATCCAGTTTTATTTCCTACGGCCTGCCTAGGTTCAGGATCAGCCTGTGTCATTCATCATCCGAATCCCAATACCAAAAATGCAAATAAAAAACGTCAGTCATTAAACCAAAGAGGCCCTGACAGCTCGACTCAAAGTCCACTCTTTAAGTTCCAAAACATCATAACTCGTCACATACTCATCAAACCACCTATCAGGTAGAAGATCCCCGAGAGAAGACACGACGGAAGATGCTCTGTGTCTTAGGCGTCTGGGGAAGTGGCTTCATGGTCTTCATCAAGTAGAGGCATAGAGCTACATTAGACAAATCATGTGAGATCCAAAAGGTCTTGAACTTCAGCACCCAGACCTTTCTATAGGCTTCCCAGATAGTCTTCAACTCCTCTGGAGTTCGAAGTCTTCGGACACGCTCACAAAGAGGTCGCTTAGGGTCTGCAGAACCATCCAGGTACATGAAACCGCCGGTGCGTTGGTCCACAAAGCCAAGGGTGATGTACTGATGGGTAGACTCGACTTCATCCTCCCACGTGTAGATACCGGTGTACTGGGTCATCTCGGAAAAAGTACGCTGGATTTCACAGCTGGTACATCGAGCGTGGATAAAGCCACCCTCACTCAGAACAAGAGGGACGTTAGAATAGTTGGCGACCAATTGTGGGATTCGCTGACCATGGCAGACATGGCCACACTCAGGATGGTACATGATCTCAGTGTTGCAGACAGGACACGAGTAGAACTCTCTACCTCGGAATCGTTCAGACTGACTGTCAAGCCAGTCCATGAGGCAGGAAGCGCCGACCATATGGCCACAGGGGAGGATCTGGGCATCGTGGGAGATTTTGCGGCCTTGTTTTTGGATCCAATGGATAGAACCACTTCCTGATCCTTGCGTTGACATGTGCTCTGTGCAGATGGTGCAGGTCAGATCGATGGGGCGGAGTTTCTGGGGATCGTTCTCGACTGCCTTTTTGAAGGCTGGCCAGTAGATGTCAGTGATGGGCATGGTATCACTGCGGATTGCGTCGATGATGGATCCAGGATTCATGGCTGGACTCATGGTGGGCATGATGAAGAATTTGTGAGGTTAGAAGTGATGGGATGATTGAGGATTCAGAAGGATGGGAAGGGATGGGATAAGGAGGAAAAGATTGAAATTTGTTTCGTTTACGTTCTGTAATCTTTTTCATCCACTTCGTAGCCTGGAGGGCTGTTCATCAGATATGGCCGCTTCTGCCACTGTCGTAACTCGATCATAGCTCGACGGGAAACGAAAAGTCAGCGTAAAGATGAAACTGCCAGTGCTAATATAGATGTAAGTCAAGGCAGCAGCATATGGCGATGAACTTGTATATGATGTGAAGTTCGAGTACCGTTCGTATACAGCGATGCCCTTGTCTGATTACTAGCACTCCCTGGGTTTTGGTATACTACATGCTTAGCTACCAGGACTTGTATTCCTTAGTGTTCTTTGTCTGGCACTGGCACAGTAAAGAACAACAAATTGTCAAGATTGTTCGGCATACTCAAAGGGGAGTGAACAATAAAAGTCTTTGTCAACGACTGTTCATGCTGTGTCTGACAGACACTGCCGAACAGCAAGGGACATTGAATCAGTGGATAAAATACCGAGTATAATTTCTCTTCGCGGCCTTCACTCTGTTTATATTTCTTCCCCTGAAGTTACCATCGTGTGTACATCTAACAAGAACCACCAGATACCATGTCTTCCACAACCGTCGACAACAAGATGTCCATCGAGACCATCATCCACCCCGAACCCGAAGAGGGCAGACCAGCGTGGACCACACCATTCTGGCCTCGTCTCAGAGACTCCCTCATCGAAGATCCAGAGCTCTTCGACCATCTTCATCTCGAGTGCGGAATCTGCCTCACCGAGATGTCTATCTTTCGCCACGACCACACTTTCACCCCTGATGAAGGCCTGACCCCTAAGGAGAAAACGAGATCCCACCGAGCTTGCATCTTACCTTGCGGTCACATGTTTGGACACAAGTGTCTTCACACCATGATCGACGAAGCCGTGAAGGAAATGGAAGAAGGAAGAGCACCGGAATTGTCCTGTCCATCCTGCCGTGAGGTTTTCTCACCTCACAGAGACTGTCCTCATCCCCACTCAGGTAAGTTGATGCCAACCACAATGGAGGGCGTTTACAAAATGCCGCCCGCATTCTCAGAGGGCGGTGTTCTATCACATAGCTGCGGTAACTGTATAGCCATCGAGACAATTTCCGTCGTCGCAGCTCTAGTCCCCATGTTCACACCCCCACTAGACTTGACAGAAAGAGAGACGCTCATGGTGTACGGGGCTGCAGACAATGGCCATATGTGGTGGTCTGTAAACTTTGAACAAAGCATTGATGTCTACGATGAAGTTGTGCGGGAGATTCCTCTGGGGGATGCGTTGCAGCGGATCTGCGATGAGATCAATGAGCGTCTGAAGCAGAATGCGAAAAAGAGATGGTACTCTGAGGACTTTTCAGAGCTCAAGTTCAAGGTCATGCTCCAGAGGGACATTCGTCCCGGAATGGGATATGAGGAAGCTGTAGATGTCGTGCAAGACGGACAAGCGAACGAGAACGAGGTATTGGAAGCTGTTAGGGTTTTGCAAGACGGACAAGCGAACGAGAACGCGGTATTGGAAGCTGTTAGGGTTTTGCAAGACGGACAAGCGAGGGGCGACTTGGTATGGAGGCTGGAGTAGGGAGTTATTTTCGCCCCCCCCTTTTTTTAGGTACCTGAATAGAAAGTGTTTTTGCCTAATCTGTGTGTTCAAAGTCAACGACTAAGCCGGGAAGTAGCTCAATGAACTTGGGGCTCTCCTTTGTGCCCAGGAGTGTCAACTTGACCTCTGCTTTGCCATTTCCACCTTCGAGTTTCGATAGAACGACCTGGTTGCTTCCTGAGTTAGGTCCAGCGGGAAGATCGTAAGGCCATGAGTATCCATCTGATCCAGAGGTAGCATTCTGGTTGTGAATCGCATCGTAAACAGGCTTGTATGTCGCAATGTCCTTCTCAGGAAGTAGAACAGTGACTTTTGACACACCCTTAGCATGCGAAGGATGCTTCGTATACTCATGCAGCCCATCACCATTGTCGGCCTTGAACGGCGAGCGCAAATGCCTCTCCGTCTCATCAACACACCAAAACGGCACCGTCCCAGGAAATATCCTCCCGCCCTCCGCATTCAGTGCCACCGAAACAAGACACTTCATCAAAACCCCATCAGGCCTATGTCTCTGCAGCGAAGTAAGATCACCGTACGTAACGCCATTCCCAGCATCAGCCACGCGTTTCTGCAACTGAGCGTAATCAGCTTCACTGGGTAGAGTGTGAGCCCAATCTGCGATCTTGCCCTCTTCGAGGTTTCCCCAACGGTGAGCACGGCGCTTCTCGGGGTCTACGCCTTCGACGAAGGCGATGAACTCGAGATATGTGCCGTCGGCGAGATGGATTAGTTTGTTGACTGTTAGGCCATCTGCGTGGGCGCCTCCGTCGATTACGAGGAGGGAAGCTTTGAGGGATTGGGTTACGGTTTGGAGGGTTTGGTAGGAGACCAGGATGGCGAAGTGGTCGAGAATTGGGAGTGGCATTTTGAGTTGTTGATGGGTTGTTTGTGATTGTGTTGGATGAGAGTGTTGATTTAAGGTTGAAGACTGCGGGGGTTCGGGGTTGGTTCGGAGGAGATGCATGACAAGCGTTGGCTTGGAAGTCATGATTGACCTCATTTCATTTCTTAATACACTAATATCAAAATTCAGAATAAATAAGTTGTTTCTATCGTATTAAAATGTTTCACGGTCTCGTAGAATAAATTTCATGTCTCCATGTTTTGAGCTTCTATGCCAAAGCCTCATCGGGCCCTCGGCAGACATCCCGGGCAAGCATTCAGCACCATTAACAGCACTTCAGGCCGATCGAGTTCAGTCCAATGATTATCGGACATTAGTTGGTAAGATTCTAGCATACGATAAAGGTACTCCTGTCGTATCAGTATGAGTGACTACTAACATGGCTACTACGATGCCAAATGGCACCTCCTCAGCCAGCGACATCCACTCGAGGTCTGATATATGCGCCGACCTTCCGGGACGTCACTGCGGATGACAAATCAAATATCTATAGAGTAAATATTCAGGATCTATGCATCCTCTGTCAGCTTACACGGCGCTTAAGTTCCGTCAGCCGATCATCCCGTGTAGTGGGAGTGAACTGTAGCCTGGCGCAATGGGATCGGGACACCAAACATCACAGCATCATATCGAATCATCTTACACGTTTCATGGGTGGTCAAAGTTCATTCAATAAGCACTAAATCCTACGCTGCAGTCAGCAGTCCGGACTCACTAGTATCTAGAAGCGAATAGGTGAGATTGTGCCGGGCGAATAGAGTAAAAAAAGGCCGCGAGGTTGGTATATATACTGCATTATCTCCATGTAATAGTTTTGATAGATAAATGTCTTAGTACATCAATTCCCAGCCAGTAAAATGACAACACTATACCAACAAAGCGTTCCTGTGTTGGTCAAGTACCTCAAGAACTTGTCCTTCATGCTCCAGAAGGGCGCCAAGTTCTGTGATGATAAGGAGATGAAACATGAAGACCTTCTTACCTACCGCCTGATTTCCGACATGAGAGGGTAAGCAACTCAATTCTCGTGCATATCCCAACTAACACTTGTCAGACTTCCTTACCAAGTCCAATCCTGCTCTAACACAGCCAAATTCCTCGCCTCTCGTCTCGGCGCACAAAACATTCCCACATTCGAAGACGACGAGCAAACATTCGAACAGCTCCAAGCCCGAATCACCCGCACAATTGAAGTCCTTGAGGGTGTAGACCCTGAAGTCATCAATGGCAAAGAGAATGAGGAGATTATAATGGAGAGCAAGATGGGCAACTTCCGCTTCACGGGCCAGCGATACGTGAGCGAATATGTGATTCCCAATTTCCATTTCCACCTCACGAGTGCGTATTGCATCATGCGCACACAGGGCGTTCCATTGATTGCGTTTGATTACCTGAAGGATGTTTTTGAAAAGGTTTAGGAGTTGGTATGCGAGAAGAGAGGATATTCATCAAAGGGGGGGCGGGAATTGCCCGATGAGGAAATTTCTCTTAAGAACTCAGCTAGACAAAAACAAGCCATTCAAGAACAAGACTCATAAACAATCTCAACAAAAACAGTCCCAGTTTCAATTTCTTCAAAATGTCTGAGCCACCTTCAACTCGGGTTCAAACCCCAGATGTCGACTCCTCAGAAGTCCAAAGAACCGCCCACGTCCAATCCCTCATGGACCGTCTACGCGCCAAAAGTCCCATCTACAACTTCATCATGTCCTCGGCGCAACTCATCAGCACAACGCAGGGCAGCGTAACAACACGGCTCGTACTAAATGAGAACCATCTCAACAGCAGCGGAAATCTCCACGGCGCTGTATCAGCTACCATCATTGACTTCACGACTGGTTTAGCTATTGCGAGCTGGGATCTGAGGGATACTACTGGTGCGAGTGTCGATATGCATATTAGTTACTTGAGCGCGGCGCGGTTGGGGGATACGGTTGAGATTGTTTCGACGGCGGACAAAGTTGGGGGCAGCATGGCGTTTACGTCGATTAGGATATCAAAGGTTGAGAAGGATGAGGGGTTGAAGTTGGTTACGCTTGGACAGCATACTAAGTATGTGAAGGGATCACAGCCAAAGACTCAATAAGACATATAGATTAGAGGGTTAGAGGAATTCACTGCAGCCAAAAAGACTCATTCGCTCTGGTGAGAGAAATCATGACTCTTCACTCGACGACTGATGGCAAGCATATGAGAGAAAAGCGAAATACACAAATTCATCACATTGGGCTTCTCTCGTAAATAAATGATCTAATATACACAATGCTGTCAAGATTCTACAATTACATGCTCAAAACTTTAGCGGCTCTACCCCGACCTTATTCGCCTCAGCATTCAATGCATCGATTTCGGCTTGCACAAGCGGAATGCCAATCTTTTCTCTCTCCTTCTGAGCCAGCTGCTCGATCTCACCAGGGAAATAAATCCTCTCAACCCCAGCAGCCTTTTCTGACCCAACAACACGCTCGTAGAGGTACTGCATTCTCTCCCTAAACTCATCCAGGCTCATGAACAGGTCAGGCTTGATAGCTACCAAGAAGTGGCCAACATCTGCAGGCTTGGAAGGATCGTAGGGTCCAGTGACATGGCCAGCAAAGGCTGAACCCGATAGAACTCCTGAGAAGACATCCATCATGATTGACAGTGCAGAACCCTTGGGACCACCCATTGGTAGCATGACACCACCCAGAGCAGCTTCGGGATCATCTGTTGGACGGCCCTCAGCATCAAGGGCCCAGTCTAACGGGATCTTTTCACCCCGTCTCTTCGCCTTGTAAATCTTGCCCCTCGCAGCCACAGAAGGCGCCATATCGAGGATGAAGTTCTCCATAGGTCCTTTACCAGGCGCACCACAGGCAATCGGCGAAACCCCCATCAGCTTACTCTTTCCACCAAACGCAGGCAGCGCAGGACTCGAGTTTGTAAACACCAAACTCATCATATCCGCATCAATAGCCTGCTGCACGATCCAAGCACTCATACCAAAATGGTTAGAGTGCTTGATACTCGCCATACCGATACCAAACACCTTTGCAGACTCAATCGCAGCAGCCATGCCCTTGTGAGCAGCTACAAAGCCGAAGCCGTTTTGGCCGTCGACGTGAGCTACGGCGGGTGTGACTTGGGTGAGGATTGGCTGGGCACTGGCGTTGAGGACGCCTTGACGGAGACGCTCCATGTAAGAAGGGATGCGGTTCATGCCGTGGGTGTCGACGCCGCGGAGATCGGCGGCGACTAGGCAGCGGGCGATGATGGAGGCATTCTCAGAGGGGATGCCGTTGCCTTTGAGGACGTCTTCGACGAAGCGTCGTGCTTCTGAGGCAGCGACTGGGAACTTTTGGGAGTCTTGGTTTTCAGCCATAATGGAATGAATCAGTTAATATGAGCTTAATCTAGTGTATAAAAGATTACTGAAATGTTTTGATACTTGATAATTCGTCAGTGATGTTGAGCGAATTCTCTCCATTCTTTTAATACTCAAATGTCACCGGAAATACGAGCGGGGAAGATCCGTTGCCCCAAAGACGTTAAAGCGGCATCTCCCCGCTCGACGGATTTTTGCCATCCTCGCACCTACATCCCTTAAACTCAGTACATCATTGCATGCCGAGAAACTCGATCCGTTACCGGCAGAATTACGAAAATGCCCGGGGTGAGGAATTCCAATGGGAAACGATCCCATCAAGCCTCCTTGCCTGATCGGAGTGCTCCCAGGACACGTATGGCATGTTCTCGGTGCCAGCGGCTGAAAAGAAAGGTACGTTTGGCACCAACTGGAGATAACTTGTTTTTCTAAACCGATATTTAGTGTAATTTGGAGCTACCAACCTGTAGCAATTGTCGTAGCGCTGGTGCTGAATGTGTCGATGGAAAGTCAGCTCGTGCTGATGCGGCACCTCGACAGTATGTGACTGCAGGTCATTTATAGCCCGCCATCATGGTTTCTAATTGACGATATAGATATGTCGCATCTTTGACGAACCGCATTAATTGGTTAGAGTCCATTGTCCGATCGAATTGTCCTGACGTCGACTTATCCCAAGGTCCGCCTGTCTTAGGAGAAGCTTGGAACGACACCAACTCTGAAGGTGCAGACAATTCCACCCTCCCAGCCCCAGCGCCAGAGCCTGTGCAACAGAGCTCTGAAGCCGTAATAAATCCTCAAAATGAGCCGCTGGAAACTCGGCCAGCAACGCAGCCTATAACATCTACTTCGGAACCCACAGGAGCAAGTGCCATGACCCACGAGATTGGGCTGGTTTCCCTTGCCACGAACCAAGATCCACGATACATCGGTCCATCCAGTGGTTATTTCCTAGCACGAGTCTTACTAGACTCTGCCTCGAAATCAGACGATAGCGTTGGTCGCGCCAATCGCAATGCTCCGTTCCCTTTAAGGCTGGTTGAAGCCCTACAGGGGCCACTTCCACTCCCGCCCAGAGACACGGCAATGCAATTATGTGAAGCGTACTTCAGCGCTATCAACTTACAGTATCCAATCTTACATCAACATCGGTTCTATGACTACCTGGATATGGCTTATGGTGGAGAGAGCCAGGACCCTGCCGCCCATTTCCAAGTCTTTATGGTTCTGGCGATAGGATCTGCTGTTCTTTCTGCTCGAACTAGAGCTCGCATACCAGCAGAATCGTATTGTCTCTCTGCACTTCAATATCTCGATGAATTAAATGTCGAGAACTCGTTGAAGGGCATTCAATGTCTTGTCTTACTCCTCATCTTTACTATACACAGCCCGTGCGTTCGCCTCAATGTCTGGTATCTCAACTATCACTGCATCGCTGCCCTGGTCGATCAAGGTCTTCAAAGGAACATCAGCATGGGGCCAGACCACAGCCTGTTCAATCAGGAGATGCGAGCCAGGATCTTCTGGGTCATTTACTCTTTCGATCGCATTATTGCGACTATGATGGGTCGACCAATTGGACTGCGTGATGAGGGCTGTGAGCTCCGTGTAAGTTCACCCACATTGCTGAATCATGGCGCAAACTAACGAGAAAGATGCCATTGGGTCTGTCCGACGGGCAACTTTTTAGCCAGAGGCAACAACATAGCACCGAGCCGTCCAGTGACATGGCATTTGCAGTTCACTTATTCGAAGCGGCCAAACTCAACTCGGAGATAAAATACATCGCTCAAAGCATCATAAGAGAGACCCCTAGATATGCTTATCCCAGAGTGACTAACATTAACGACTGGCAAAACGCCATGCTGCAGCGGCTGGATGAGTGGTCAGACAAGATACCAGGTCTTGGTGACCCTGACGTGTTGTATCTGCGAACGACTTGTCAGCTTCGATATCACGGTCTACGAATGCTTCTACTGAGGCCCAGTCCTGCCATTCCCAAACCACCCAAAGAAGCCTTGATAAAGTGTCACCAAAGTGCATGTGAGAGCCTACAGCTGTTTGACCAATTGTATAAGAAAAACCTGCTTGTTCATAGCTGGACTACTTTCCACGGGCTTGTCCTCAGTTCCATAACTCTGTTATACTGCATCCAGTCAGTGTCGGAAATCGCCCGCTCTACCGGTGTGGACGCCTTCATGTCTGACCTGAGCATATCCCTCAGCATTCTGGGGGCTACAGGCGAGCATTGGTCTGGCGCCAAACACAGTCGCGATATTCTGGATAGCCTGGGTAAATCAACTGTTCGATACATTCGAGAAAAGAACAGGCGATCCGAGGGTTTGCGTGACCGCTCTGCACCGCAAGTTAATGAACAGGTGATTGATCCCACACTCTCAACAGATGCATGGGAGAGTTTGGGGCAGGAGTTCAATGGCATCCAGGGATCGTCATCGCACATGAATATTGACGACGATATGGGGTTCATGCAGAACCAGTTCTACGAAGGGTTGCTTAACGAGACATTCGCTGAATACTTCGAGCCAACTGAGTCGACAAACCTCGATAACATTGTTCGCGACCTGTTCCAAGGCCTTATTCCAACAGACTCAATCTAAACCAATACATTAGTCTTGGGACCTTTGCGGCCCTTCAGCAGTCAAGAAGTCAAAATCGGCGCCTAGCTCAGCCTGGTTCACGCTCCGCATGTATAAACCTCGATAGCCTCTCATTCCTTCCCTCTTCACCCATGGTGTGGAAGCACCCTCGGCTTGCTGGAAGGTCTTGAGTCTCTCCTGGATCCTCTGTGATATTTCTTCATCAGATAGATCAACAGAGAGCTGCCTCTTTTCGACATCGAGCGTGATGAGATCGCCGTTCCTGACGATACCGAGCGGGGATTTGGGGTCTGCTGATTCTGGGGAGATGTGCAGTCCAATTGTCCCACCTGCTGTTCCACTCATACGGCCGTCTGATAGACGCAGCATATCCAACACTCCCTGCGAGGCAATCTTTCTTGGGATAGGGATCATGCCTGCTTCTGGCATGCCAGGGTTTCCAATTGGGCCAATGTTCTGGAGGACCAGGACACTGTCGGGTGTCACGTCCAGATCAGGATCATCTATTCTCTCCGCCATATCTGCAGAGTTTGCAAAAACGACGGCTTTGCCGGTATGCTGTAGTAGCTTTCGATACTTTGAAGCACTAGCTTTCATGATGGCGCCTCCTGGGGCCAGATTGCCTTTCAACACTACCAAAGACGATGCTGGGTACAATGGCTTGTCAAATGGCTGAATAACACTTAGTTCTCGGGGAACCGGGATGAGAGAATTGTGAGCAATTTCTTCTCCCAGTGTTCGGCCAGTAACTGTCAATGCGTCGAGATGAAGCAGGGGCTTGAGTTCATGGAACAAAGCGAGCATACCACCTGAAATTGTGAGCGTTGACATCACAACAGAATTAACGGCATACCTGAGTTATGGAAGTCTGTCATGTAGTTATCACCACTTGGTTTCAGATCAACCAGCAACGGTGTCTTGCGACCGATCTCGTCTATGGTTTCCAATGTTATCGTGCCTGCAACCTTGGGGTGGCGTCCGATGATAGCCATCAGGTGGACCACAGCATTCGTTGAGCCGCCGATTGCCTGCAGTACAGTGATGGCGTTTAAGAACGACTCCCGCGAGAGTAAAGCTTGTGGCCGCAGCCGTTCAACGTCTTTGCAGGCTGCAACGGCTAGTCCACCGGTGGCTTCTGCAATTCGCAACCTTGTCGCTGATACAGCTGGGGCAGTGGCGCCAGCAAAAGGCATCATGCCGAGTCCGACGAGAATGGAGGCCATTGTAGATGCCGTGCCCATAACACCACAAGTTCCTCCCTGGCCTTGTTAGACTTGATATCTTGAGCTGGATGATTAGAACTCACAGTTGGTGCTAGCTCATCATTGATAGCTGAGATATCTTCAATGTCAAGAGTGCCGGCTCTGTACTTGGCCCAGTTGTTACGGCAGTCTGTACAAGCTCCGATGCGTACTCCGCGATGACTACCGGGCATCATTGGGCCAGTGACCAGATGGAGTATAGGCTTGTTTGCCGAGATGCCTCCCATCAGTTGAGCAGGTGTAGTCTTGTCACATCCTATCCCAGTCAGCATCTCGCATTCAGGATACTCTAAAGGTCAACATACCGCCAATCAACACAACAGCATCACAAGGCTGCGCCGCAATCATCTCTTCCGTATCCATACTCATCAAATTCCTCAGATACATACTCGTCGGCGACGAGAAGCTCTCATGAATACTAATAGTAGGAAAGTCAATCGCCAACCCGCCGTTGAGCTGCACGCCCCTCTTGACAGCATCAATGAGCTGAGGAATATTGGCATGGCAGGGGTTGAAGCTAGAGTATGTATTCACGATTCCAATGATGGGACGTGAGAGTGCATCTTCGCTATAGCCGAGGGCTTTGATAAAGACTTTGCGGAGGAAGAGGGAGAAGTGAGGATCGCCGTATGAGGCGAGGCCTTGGCGAAGGCCGACTTTTGATGTAATGGGTTGGTCGAGGTCGTAGTCTGGGTTGACCACTGCTTTCTTTGGGTCTGACATTTTGATCAATGAAGTTGAGAAGAGATGATTGCAGGGGATTGGGTGTCGGCCTATCAGTGTTTATGTATTACTCTCCCCGGTGGCGATGATCACATATCGGCGTTGGAGGTGCAGACGGGATGACCCCGCGTCGGCCATCACGCAATATGGCCGATGGAGCACTTACACGGCATGCGGGAGAATCCCGCTACACACCAAGCCAAGGAATAAACAGATATATTAAAAAGCCGTCTGTATGATAGATTAAATGGCCATTCTCAGTATCCTTCTTGCTTCTTTATTCATCTACTCAATATGCTCGACCTCTCAAATAAAGTTGCCCTCATAATCGGTCTCGGCCAAACAGGTACCGAGGGCTGGGGAATCGGTGCAGCATGCGCCGTGACCTTGGCACGACAGGGAGCTGTCATCTTTGGCGGAAACAGAACACTCGCTTCAACTACAAAGACAAAAGAGACTATTGAAGCAGAGGGTGGAGCATGCGATATCGTCGCTACAGATGCCACAGACTCAGCTTCTGTGAAAGCGCTCGTTGATGCGTGTATGAAGAAGCATGGACGGATTGATATCCTGTTAACAAGCGTTGGACAATCCCAACCTGGAGATCCTGCGTCTATGAATGAAGAAATCTGGGACTCTCAGATGGACATCAACCTCAAGAGCGTCTATCTCGCATGCCACCACGTCCTCCCAATAATGGAATCCCAAAAAAGCGGCTCCATAATCTGCATCTCCAGCATCGCCGGCCTTCGGTACATCGGGAAGCCCCAAGTAGCCTACAACACCACCAAAGCCGCAATCCTACAATTCGTCAAAGCCACAGCGGTAATCTACGCCTCCAAGGGCGTGCGCTTGAACGCAGTTGTGCCTGGTTTGATGAACACGCCGTATACGCGGAGTTTGGCGGAGAGGTTTGGGAAGGGGTATGAAGAGTTTTGCAAGACGAGGGAAGAGCAGGTCCCGATGGGGAGGATGGGGGATGCGTGGGATGTAGCGAGTGCAGTTGCGTTTTTGGCGGCTGATGAGGCGAGATATGTCACTGGGCAGAAGATTGTGGTTGATGGGGGGATAACGAGCTCTACGGGGAGGGCTTAGGGTTTGGTGAGGGGGTATGTGAGAGTTTAGAAGTAACTTTTGATGTTCAATAGAGGCTTGATAAGATGAAGTTCGAGTTAAGGTTCAACTTATGGTTCTACGTCATGAGATATCATTTCTGAGGGGGAGTTGAGTCATGTAGATATTCAAGCTGGCAAGACGTTTCTGGCTCAGCCACCGGAAGTACACGATGGTTGAGATTTGAGGATGGCTTATCCAATGAACTTATTGACTACGCGTAGCATGGTTTACCTTGTTTGTATTGAAGCACAGATGTCAGAAGGTTCCGGTGTCTCTTCGAAGTATACCCGTACCTACGGGGTGTGAATGTCAAACGATATACGTCATCTCAACAGAGAAGGCCGTAGAAGTACATGGAAGGACGAGGCTCGGGACGAACTTACGTCAAGTATGATAACTAATAAAGAAGACGAGTTGAAGGAATTCTAACGGAAATATGTGCAATATCTGATGGTGCCAAACTTGAGGTCTGTAATTATGCGTGTTTGTGAGTTGGCTGCGTGACTACCGTTGCACTTACACTAAGTTGTTTAATTTGATCCGCCATATCCACTGAGCTTCAACTTCATCTGATAACGCATACTTTTTCTTCTCGGCGAGTTGATTACACGATCCCATGTGTACACCGGCGAAATTGCGTAGGCGGCATTCTCCCGTTTCTTGGTCCACATGCGGCGCAAAGCCGTCCGTGGTGTTAGTTCAAGCCAAGTCCAACCCGCCAGACATTTAAACTGATCTCCATCACCGGCAGATCAATAAATCATTGGTAAATCATTCCTCATTTCACAATGACAGTCGTTCATATCGGTTCGTGCCCTCTTTCGCCTCAATAGTGACTCCTCCCCCTCTGACTTACCCCTCAGTGCTCTTTAAGTTTCGCTCCGATGTCGACGAGTCGCATCGCGAGACATTTGTCAAAGAACTCAAAACTCTCAAGACGTTACCATGCGTCAAAGATGAGCGTCTTGTCGTGGGTGGTCCGTCTATTACGGATCCCATTGCGAGGAGTAAAGGCTTTCAGATATGCCTGTTGAGTTTCCACCACGATAAAGCTGCGCTGGCAGCCTATCAAGCAAGCAGTGAACACCACAGGTAAATCCACCTCCCGATTAGTTGCTAAAAAGAACAGAAGCTGACGAGTTACAGGGTCACAAGTCAATATCTCTGGCCGTTCGCGGAGGATGTAACGCGCTTCGACTTTGAAGTTGCAGAGGAGGATGAGGATACATTTGAGAAGAGCTTCAAGTTGTCTAGCCAATAAGCATAGAAGAGACTTACACGGAACTTACCAGTTGTTTGAGCATTACTCATCACAATGCGATAATGCAATGCAGAGTCACCCCGCACCGAGATAACATCGGCGGCCGGCGGCCAAGGCTTGACCCACCCCGCACTACTACACTACGGCCCGCCGCCGGCTTTTGATGATGCTACGACGACGACTTGTGAAGGTCTAGATTGTTTGTGGGGTTGAGAAAATATCAGCCCTTTTCTCTTCTATTCACAGATTCTCCCTTGTGCTTCGTTTGCGCTCTCTCATTATAGTTTCTGTGATTCTTTGTCTGTGATTGTTTCTGGTGAGCTCAACACCATCGTTTGTATCACCACTTGACTACTCATCCACCGTTTGGCTTTCACGATGCCCCGCTTCACTGTACCTCGCCTTCAGACCCTCAGCAAACCCAAATTTCTTAACGGCATACCAAATAATAGTATCTTTGCTATAGCGACTCTCATCACAGTCAATGCCCTTGTATGGATCGCTGCAGGCATTGTTCTGCATTTCCATCCGCGCCTCATCTCGCCAGCTGCCCTCTCCTACGTCCTTGGTCTTCGCCATGCTTTGGACGCAGACCACATCGCAGCTATTGACCTGATGACACGTCGTCTCATAGCATCAGGTCAACGTCCAGCCACAGTGGGGACGTTCTTTTCACTTGGGCACAGCACCATCGTCATAGTAACATGCATCGTCGTCGCAGCTACGAGTGGCGCTCTGAGGAAAAGGTTTGACGGTTTTCAGCACGTGGGGAATATAGTTGGCACGAGTGTCAGTGCCACATTTCTCATAATTCTCTGCATAGGAAATGGCTGGGTTCTGTACAAGCTCATCCAGCGCCTGCAAGTGATTCTGCAAGAGCGGAGAGATCAGGTCCGACTCGAAGGATTTGTGGAGGAGGAGACGCAGATTCAGGATCATTTTGCTCTGGAGGGGGGAGGGTTCTTGACACGTGTGTTCAAAAGGTTGTTTCGAGTTATCGACAGACCGTGGAAAATGTACCCCCTGGGCGTGGTCTTTGGTCTTGGGTTCGATACAAGCTCAGAGATTGCGATACTGGGGATTGCAAGCATTCAGGCGGTACAGGGCACGAGTATCTGGTTGATTCTGATCTTTCCTATTCTCTTCACAGGTGAGTGGCGATGCATCTGCATTAGAGTTGAAGTTTACTCACGCGTGATAGCTGGTATGTGTATGCTCGACACCACAGACGGAGCCCTAATGATGGCCCTATACACATCTAAAGCGTTCTCAAGAGACGTGGTTGCCATTCTGTATTATTCCATCGTCCTCACGGGGATTACAGTCGTGGTGTCAGCTTTCATCGGCATCGTCCAGGTTCTCTCCCTAATACAGAACGTCGCAGACCCTCAGGGGCGATTCTGGGATGGAGTTTCCTCTATCGGCGACCACTTTGACATTGTTGGAGGGAGCATCTGTGGTGTATTCCTCGTCGTGGGTCTCGGATCAATATTCGTGTATAAACCTTGGAGGAGACGTGTCGAGAGGCAACAGCAAAGCTTGATTCAGGATGCGGAGCCCTCCTTGGACGCTCACTCGCCTGCGCCTTCGCCAGAGCGTGAAGAGATTGGATTTGTTCAGGCACAGAGAATTGTTTAGCTTTCGTGCGTTTCTTTTTTAACTTGCGTAATTGGCTGCGGGGTTTTGCGTCTTCCCGGTGATTCGGTAAAGATTGCGGTGTTGAGGCTGCGTTCACACTCTAATTGGCAAGTGTGAGCTTGTATCCAACGAAGAATGAAGGAGTTACTCCTCAGTTTTGCGAAACCAATTAGGTATAATAAATCACTTGGTCACCCTTTTTGTTCTTTTCTTTCACCTCTCATCATCATTTCGATGAGTTTATGATCATTGGTTTTGGCATATCCATCGATATCGATATCAAATGAACATCAATATCATGGGTTCAGAAGCATCATCTGGTACGCTATCAGACCCCTACGCGGGTGAACTAGGTAAGTATATGCATCCTTTGCCGTCTTTTTTCTGGCCGACCACAACTGACAAGGTGAATTCAGAGTATCAAGACCTACAGGGCCAATTGGGTAACGATGTCACTTTCACCGACGACGACGTCAAGACCGCCCTGAACCTTTCCATAGGTGACACTGTCATTAGTTTACCTCTCTCCTTTCCAGAGGAAACCTTCACCTTTCCAGAGGAACCCTTCACCTTTCCAGAGGAACCCTTCACCAATCCAGCAACGTACAGTTATGAGGAAACTATAAGTTGCCTACAACGAGGTATCGATCAATTCTGGGACGATGATATGGCTTCTGGACAGATTAATGCCGGTACCAATATGTATGATCTTCCTGAAGTGCAGATCCCTCCTCAAGAACAGAATCCTCCCCAACCGGAGAATCCTCCTCAAGAACAGAACCCCCCTCAAGAGCGAAATCCTCCCCAAGCGCAGAATCCTCCCCAACCGGAAAAGCATCCTCGAGTGCAGAATCCCCCTCAAGAGCAAGAGCGAAATCCTCCACAAGCGCAGAATCCTCCTCAAGCTCCAAGTGCCACACCTGATGTCAAACCTATACCTCAGGCCAGGGCCCGAGGTGCAAAGAGGGGGGACCCCGGACCCTCGCCTCGAGCAGCAAAGCGACCCGCTAACAGGGACGATCAGCCCGCCACCAAGAAGGTGAAATCCGGGGAGTCTTCCCTGCCTCGAGCAGCAAAGCCAACTACCAGGAGAAACCGCCAGCCCGCGACCAAAGGGGAAAATTCTGAGAAGCCCCGTAAGCTGAGAAAGCTTCTACCAAAGCCTCCTCCGCCAGAACCTATTCAACCATACTATATTTCACCAATGGCCCCTGTACCTTGTCAACAGGAATTCCAGGCCAATAGGGGAATCGCATATAGTGTGGACAATCCTGCCTTGTATGGCGCTAATCGTCAGCCAGCTTCACATTGCAATGAGACGGTTAGCCCGGGTATACAGGGTCTGTATAACGGTTCTTCGAGGACGCGGGTGGGAATGGATCCTGGCGGTGCTGCGTTTTCTGACAGCGTAAGTATCCATAGGTCTTCCTATATGGTACCCCAGTCGCAGCGGACGATGAGAAGCACGCTTCCTACTCCAGCGTCTTCTCCTGGCATGATTCCCAATCCTATGTCACCTCAGCAGCAGCAGCTTGCTAATGGGATGACAATGAGAAGCGCGCTTCCTACTTCAACGTCTTCTCCTGGCATAATTCCCAACCCTATGTCACCTCGGCACCAGCAGCACCAGCAGCACCAGCAGCTTGCCAACGGGATGACAATGGGAAGCACGCTTCTGAGCCCAGTATCTAGTCCTGGTCAGATTCCCATGACGACTAAGAATCTTCCTCACCTGAACCGCTCAATGCAGGACCCCCAGGTAGGTTGGTTTCCAGCCACGACCAGCGAAGTAACCACGAACCCCCTACCCTGGAGCCAACAGCACAGTTACAATCCTTTCTTCGGGGGCCCTCAGTCTATGCGTCAACCCGCCGTGCCCACTGGGATGGGGGTCCAAGTAGAATGGACGCCGCCAGTGAACCTCAGCCCGCCGGAGCTTGGTCACCAGTACACAGGTCTACATCCTACCACGAGGTAGAACCTGGGTTGAGGAGGCATTCTAGGCAATTACGTGACAAAAATACTTTAAGATAGTATTAGGATGAGGTACTGTCCCCAAATGGTCTGCCACTGTGGTGCGCGCACTTGTTGAGGTTGAGGCTGAGGCTCTGGGTCACTCGGTTAGAGTGTATATACACAGTAGTATATCGTCGGGAGAGACAAGACAAGGCTCTCGATTGCGGAAATTGATAGTGTTTCCCAAGATCGAGAATGCGGGGTAGTCCATTCGTGAAGCTGGCTTGTATCGTCCGAATGGATCTTTGACCAGGCTGAGTCGTGTCGTGTCAGGGAAAAGAGAGGCGGATTTGCAATCTCAATCCCCAGTTTCTGAGGCTGATCAACCGAAGGGCCTGTTCTTAGGGAGCAAGAAAACTAAAGACCTGAAAAGAGGATGCTAAAATAAACTTAGCAAAGAGCCCCCTAAGATTAGGCTAGATTTACCTAAACATTTTTACTGCTTGGGGTCAAGGTCCTGAGTTTTCTTTCCTCCCTAGGTAGCTTGCTAGGGCATTGAAAGAGTCAGATGCGCCCCCGTTCTCGGAAGCGTTGCCACCCTTGTCGCTATTAGCTTAGGTAGGGTAGTCCTAATATCTGCCTCCTAATAGGCTAATTGCTTATCGCTGGTGTAACTAAAGTACAGCGTGGTACTGATAACACTCTGTTTCCTTATCCGGGCGCCTTTGTTCCAGAAATAAGTCAATGGTGTACGTACAGGCGCTTGCAGTGACAGGAGAAGCATTGCTTCGTCCGTCGGGTCTTTAGATACCAACCTAACCTCCCGAGAGTAGAGCAAGGGCTCATGACCAGTCATTTTGGTAGGTAATATCCGTATCACCGCCTTGAAGGCCTCAGGAGAGACAGTCTAGACAGTATTGCGCCCACTGTCGATCCGTGAGGTGGTCACCTCAACGAGTCCTGTCCCTGCATGATAAAGCGCTGTGCCTATCAATGGAGGCTCAGTGCAGTCTGCAGCCTTGGAGCGGGCGTCCCCCTGGCGCCCCGCACTGTTTGCCTCGCCAAAGTACCTTAAAGGAGTTGACCCCCAGGACCCAGGACCCTTACTCACTAACTGTGCTGCAGGCGTTCTAGGTTGGACCCCTAGAAATCCAATGCTGGGGACCCACCCACCGGCCGGGTCAACGACTCGACTCAGGAGTTCTAGCCTCGCTGTTTCTGACGAATCGGATCAACGGGATATTCGAGGCCATGCCCATAGCGGATGGCGAAAGATTAGTAGATCTTTGTTTCGACGGATCTCTCGTCCTTCGCTTCGCTTCGTTGCACAGTACAGCACTGCAGTTTTCGTCTGCTTTGTCATCTAAACTACGGAATCGGACTGTCCGTCGTCAAAGAAAAGTGTCATCGGAAAAGTGAGGGTGTCGTGGTGTCAGACTGACACACTTGGTTGAGCGTCAAGGCAAGCCAAGGAGAGTTAAACCCAGCCCCAACACAACACAACACAACAGAGAGAGCGGTCTGGAGTCAGCGCGGCCAGAAGGGGGAATTGCTCAGCAACCCTGTGCCATGCAACCGGGTTCGAAGTCGCGTTTCCGTGAAATCAATAGGGCGCTTGGTTGAGCTTGGATGAGACAACAATGTCTCTCCTCTCCTGTCTCGCCTGCAGGCCCCGGGTATCGGGCCCTAGTTCCATACTGTACGTTCTTATACTTTCCAGTTCCGGGGATGGGGAGGACCCTTGCCAGTCAATCCACACTGTCCGGTGCTCCGTGCATCAAATGGTGCCATTCGAGAATGTCTAAGTGCCTGCGGGTACTGTACCTCGACAGCTTTGTTTTGCTGGCGAGGAACATGGCGAGGCCTTCTAGTTTCCGTCGGTGAAAGTTATACTGTGTCGTGTCGTGTCGTGTCGTGTGTCCGTGGACCCTTGGTCTTTGGGGACTTGGGTTGATGGGTGGTGGCGGAGGAACTAACTAGTGCGGCAGTGAATAGCATTCCCATTTCCTTCGCTCGACTCTTGTCATATATAGACCCTTCTTCTCCTCCGACTTCGGTTTCCTCCTTTTCTTTTCGATTTCCTTTCAGATCTTAACGGGACGCTGGTTCCTTTGCCATATCTCCCATCTCTCTTATACTCTTGAAGGGTGTGCCATCTTATCTCGTATAGCTCAACAAGATACACCCACCAACACCCTACCTACACGGTACCATCCTCACTCCAGATAGCAAATCTGCTACTCTTTTGGAGACCATTCTTTCTGTAATTTATCGTATATATATCACATCCAGCACAATGCACGGCTACAGTTCATCAGAAGAGTCCGACGATCCTCGTCGGCCTCGTGCCCAACCTGCCACCACCACCAACAACGACCAGAAGAAGAAGAAAAAGAAGAAGCTCCCACCTCAAAAAAGCATCAATCGCATCTGGAAGAAGTTCTCCAAGCGCAAATTTCACAAGGCTCTCGCCGTCCTTCCATTCGACCCCGTGCAACCTCCTGCTACCTACCATTCCAACGAGCTCTTATCGGCCGGTTACGAGCGAGCCGCTGAGGAATGTCGACGCAAGGTTGAGAAGATCATCAAAGAATGCAAGCGAGTGAATATGCGATATCGAGATCCTGGTTGGGATTTGGTGAGTTTACTGTCTGTTTGTAGTCCAATGTGAATTTGGCGCTAATGCATCTACTAGGATTGGGATCTCAAGTATGAGAAGGGCCACTGCTTGAATAACCTGGGATCGCAGAAATTCGAGCTCAACAGGACAACGCTGCTGAGCTCAAAGGCGGCTGTTCCCAAGGCCGTCAAGCGCGTGCACGAGATCTTTGAGGATCCCACCTTCATGAAAGAGGTTAGCGGTGGTGACGTCAAGCAGGGCAGTCTAGGAGACTGCTGGATCATGGCTGGCCTAACAGCTCTGGCCAATGTTCCAGGAGGTCTACAGCGGATCTGCGTTGCCCATGACACAAAGATCGGCATCTACGGCTTTGTCTTTTATCGAGATGGCGAATGGATCTACTCCATCATCGACGATAAACTCTATCTCAAGTCCCCCTTGTGGGATTCCCCCTCCATGCAGAGAGATCTTCTGCAGCAGATCGATCGTGAGGATAACGAGAATGTTTATCGCAAGACGTATCAGACTGGCTCAAAGGCCCTTTTCTTTGCGCAGTGCAGAGACCAGAATGAGACTTGGGTTCCTCTCTTCGAGAAGGCCTACGCCAAGGCTCATGGTGACTATGCGTCATTGGCTGGTGGCTGGATTGGCGAGGGTGTCGAGGATCTCTCTGGTGGAGTTACTACTGAGCTCTTGACGTCTGATATTCTCGATATCGATGAGTTCTGGGATAAGGAGATGTCACGAGTCAACGATGAGTTCCTCTTTGGCGCTTCCACTGGTCTTCTTGAGCACGGCTACGGAGAGCGCAATGGCATCTCTGAAGGACATGCCTATGTCGTCATGGAGGCACGGACTCTAAAGTCTGGCCAGCGCTTGGTCAAGCTGCGCAATCCTTGGGGTAAGGTCCGCAAGGGTATCTGGGAGGGAGCTTGGAGTGATGGTTCCAAAGAGTGGACTACTGAAGTGCAGGAGGAGATGGACCACAAGTTCGGCAGCGACTCTGTTTTCTGGATATCTTACGAGGATCTTATTCGGAAGTATTCTCACTTCGACCGGACTCGACTCTTCCGCGATCGAGACTGGCGATGCTGCCAGCGCTGGATTGGTGTTGATGTCCCGTGGAAGGCGGCTTACCATGAAAAGTTCCACATCAAGTTGACCCAGGACTCACCTCTTGTTCTAGTTCTTTCGCAGCTTGATGGCCGATATTTCAAGGGCCTTCAAGGACAGTACTCCTTCCGTCTTCACTTCCGGCTTCACTACGAGGACAGCCCCGATGCCGAGGACTACATTGTCCGATCTCACGGCAACTATCTCATGGATCGTTCTGTTTCTGTTGAGCTGCCTGATCTCCCCTCTGGTAACTATGTTGTCTACCTCAAGGTCACTGGTGAACGAGATTCCAATGGTCAGTCTGTTGAGCAGGTCGTCAAGCGCGAGGCTGCCGACAGAACTGAGAATGAGAAGCTCGCTCAAGTTGGCTATGCCTATGATCTAGCTCATAGCAAGGCTTGGGACCACATGGACAAGGTCACCAAGCTTCGTCAGAAGAAGGATCAGAAGAAGGCTTCTGCCAGTCGCCAGAAAGAGCGTCGCCGCATGTGGGAGAAGCGCTCTACCAACCGCGACGTCACCAAGCAGCAGACCAAGAAGAACGCGGACAAGAGAAAGCGACGTCGCGCAGAGTGGGAGGCTGAGCAGAACCGTCTTGATGAGGAGTTCAACGCCAAGGTCAAGGCTGAGCGCGAGCAGATGAAGAGGGAGAGGCTTGCTAAGGCCGAGGCCGAGAAGGCTGCTGAAGCTGAGAAGAGGGCTCAGGAGGCTGATGATGAGGCTTTGAGCAAGAAGACTGAGGAGATCAAGATTTCAGATGACAAGGATGAGCCTGTTGTTGTTGACGAGCATTACAAGGATCATGACGATGCGGTTATTTCTGTCTCAACTGGATCGCCTCACTTGACTCCCAAGTCTATGGACTCTACAGTCGAGGGTGCTGAGGAGAAGCAGGAAGTCCCACCAGTCAGTGGAGGACCTCCCGCTCCCATCGAGGAGGAAGAGCCTCTTCCCGTCCGCCCTCGACCTGCCTACGATTCCGCAGGCGAGTCCTCTGATTCTCCTGTTGAAGACTGGGAAGCTCTCTACAGTAGCGATGACATGGCTCGCAAGCCTCGCCTCACACAAGCCAACCAAGCCGCCGCCCAAGAGGACTACGACTCGGAGGAGGAAAAGATGCCCGAGCCCTGGAACGCCATCTGCATCGTTGGCGTGCGCGTTTACTCCAAGGACGAGAACCTCGAGCTGCGCACTGTCATGGAAGGCGGTGAGCTTCTAGAGGGCGGCATGGGCTCCAAGGGCGCCGCAGATCTCGACAACGCTCAGTCCAACGCAGGCGGTGGACGAGCCGACGACAAGGATGCTGCTAAGCCGAAGCAAGGTGACGACAGGTCGTATCCCCCCGTCATCCGCAAAGAGGGTAAATACGTGGAAGATGAAAACACCTCCGGAGAGAAGTATTCTTCTATCCAGAGCTATTTCCACATCGACTCTGCTTTTACAACAAGGGTTAATTCTCCAGCGCCGACGCCTTATGAGCATGATCGGAGGCTGGAGTCCCCGGCTACTAGCCGATAAAGCTTGAATTTTGATTGAGAGCGTATTAGAGATTCTAGAATGATCATGACTCGAGGGGGTATACGGTATCGAGATGACAAGGTTTATACCTTGGGTTAATATTTTGATGTTTTGGGAATAGGATGAATGGATTGGAGGATAGGCGCAGGTGTTGGGATTCTTTCAGGAACGATGACATGAACTTATTTAGCAGAGATATCAAGACTGTTTTGAACAATGAATCACAGTTACAAACAACTCCAGTTTGCTGCACAATCTTGAATGATACCATTTTAAGCTGATTGATGTGAGACTTGCGGCAAAGTAACACAAATGGCGGCATCAGCTTTTCCACGTGCAAACAATAAACAAACTGGAATGCAGATTCCACGTTCCAGGGCGCAAACAGACGGGAACCCCACTGCCAAACTGCAGGTCCTGAGACGGCCAGCCTATGGCCATGCGCTAAAGGTGCCTAGACGGGCCAGGTTAGTCCCTGGAAATCACGAGTCAGCTCCTGTAACCGAGCTTTTTTGGAGGCGTCAGCTGCCTAGACTGTGTGGAGCCTAGGCACCTTCATGGAAAGTGGGTGCGATAACGGAAGCACAGCTTATCGCACCCCAAGTTCCGTCATCGTTCAAGCTCTCCCCCGTCCGTCTCGCTATCTCAACTTTCTTCTTCCCTTTCATCTCGTGTAATTATTACCTTTTTTATCTTTCTTGTACCATCTATTATTATCGCTCCCATCATGTAGTCATGAGTGAACACTAGTATCTAAACATTACCTACCTACATCACACATTCAACATGGCTTCTTCTTCCTCCAAAAGCTCTTTGCGCCGTAGTCATGGCGACTCATCCGGAGCCTCGTCTGGACTTTCGCATCCTCGATCAGCGACACAATCTCGACTTTCCACCGCACCCTCTATCGATATCGACACTCTCGTTAACCACCTCCTTGTCGCGAAACGATCGCTTTCTTCTATGACTCTTGTTCTTCGCGCGAATGAGATCGCGAATGATGCTAGGCAGTCACATGATGATGTATCCATCCTAGCTGCGCAAGCGGGCTTCTTACGAACGTCTATACTGGATCAGACGGCGATTCTTGTGAGAACTAGGAGGAGCTTGCAGAGCACGTATGAGTGGGGAAAGAAGGACTTCCGAAAGCTGGTCAAGTCGATGGACTTGGTCGACGGGCAGCTTGATCATACTATGGAGATGCTGCAGGAGACTGGGGTTGAGAGTGTTTTTAGACCGAAGGGTGAAGAGAGACGAAGTCTCCTTGATTTTATCGATGAAGGGGGCGTGGACGGAGTGCGCGAGGCGATGAAGCATAGCATCCAGGAGCTACAGGTAAGCTGCCCGCAAAAGGCATCGCCAGTCATGCGCTGACACCGACCAGGCTATTCAGCAATCCTTCGACGGAGATCTACTCCGTTTCGACAACGACATCCGGAACCTGAAGAAAGTGGTCGCCGATACGCCCAGCATACAAGATATACCACAGGGTAATAATCCATCGGCCGGCGAGATCCTCGAGAGTCTAGTCGACCATTCAGCCAACATGGCCCAGCTCCTCGCATCGCTGACCCATCACTTCGACATGTGCGTCACCGCGATCCGAACGACCGAAGGAGGCGTAGCTCTCGCTCGCCGTAGAGCTGCCGAGGCTAAACAGTCCCAAGGAAACGACGGGGTCTCCATTTCAGGCGTCATCGCCGAGCAAGAGTCTAATGTGTCCGACCTCGAACCCAAAACGGCCAAAGACCGAGCCGAGATGTTAAAAGTTGTCGTGCAAGATGCACGCGAAGTCGACGACGTGGTGCAGGAAATACAAGAGCGCCTCACGGCAATGGAGCAGGATTACACAGTGCTGCAGGAACAGCACGACATCTCAAAACAGGCCTACACGGGCATGCTACAGGCATACGCCATTTTGGGCGATATTGGCGATCGACTCGCTGACTACCTCGCGGCCGAGGGAGACTTTAAAACACGATGGGATATGGAGAAGGAGAGCGTCTTTGCCAAATTACAGGAGATGCAGCAGCTCAAGGACTTTTACGAGCGCTACGCAAGTGCGTACGACAGTCTGATTCTTGAGGTCGAGCGCCGTCGCGCAGTAGACGATCGCGTGCGCAGCCTCTGGCGCAAAGCACAAGAGAACGTGGACAAGCTCCTCGAGACAGATCGCGTGTCACGCGAGGCGTTCCGGCAGGACGTGGGGGAGTTTCTGCCGACGGATCTGTGGGCGGGCATGCAGGGTTCTGCGAAGAAGTGGACTGTTGTGAAGGAGGGTGAGGATGAGGGCGATGGAGAGGTGCAGCCGTTGAGGAGGAGTGTTGTCGAGGCGGCGAAGGAGAGACTTGCTAGGGCGGGTGAGAGACGGGGAGTGAGATAGGGTGATAGTTAGATATGTATTGATAGCTGGGATGGCGTTTTGGATAGGCTGGTTCTCTGGGATTGGGATAATACTCCACATATTGCTCTTTTTTCAAGTCGGGATTATCTGACGGTTGTGGCATCTTGACGAGGTACCAAGACAGTGCAATAGCTCTTTGTTTTCCTTGTGTATATTTGTGCAGACAATAGTTTTCTTGATATCAACTTTTCCAGTTTTCAAACGATCGTCACTTGTGACGGCTCAACGGCTGCTAATCTTAGTTGCGGCTACTTGTAAGAAGTTGTCTCGAGGCGTCTTCCTTTGATGCTACACATGTTTATGATGCCCGGGTTATCTCCAATAAGCTACGACACGGGCCGTGACCGCGGCTAACTACATTTTATAGCTTCTGTGTAGATCTCTTAGACGACGAACATTAATATGTGGATGGTAGTCAATCATAGATACCAACTGGAGTTTCTTATCATTTGTTTACTTGAAGGCAGATTCTTGTGACAAAATAAATAAATTAAGCGAGGGTTATGCTAAGATCTTAAAATACTAAGCTGTTGATATTCGTAAAGATCGTGATGATTTAGGATTCCAATACTCCATCCTTGTTGCTGTCATTATTCCGGCCGTTTCTCATTACACACACAATAACCTAGTTTAAACAATTTGCATCCTTCATTTCAACTCTTCGTTTGGACTGTCGAAACAATCTCCAGAGCTGCAAGAGTCTAGATCATCGGGCTTGATGGATGACAGGAACTCTGTCACCGAGCTCATGATAAAGACTTTGAGGTCCTCTTCATTTGTGAGGTCCACGTCTGAGAAGATGGAGCTCAGCTTGCGATACATGTCTGGGGCGATGTCTGGGCTGATGGTGACGATGTTGCTGAGAACATCGGTGAGCATGTGGGTTGCTCGAGACATGGCGCGAGCTCCTGTTCCTCCTAGTGTGTCGATAGAGTCTTTGACTGTGTTGTGCAGCTCCTCTGTGATGATGTAGACATTTCTGAGGAGCGCTTGACTATCGTCTTGAGCGAGATCAAGAGTTGGAGTCCTGTCCATGATGGAGACTGTTCGGGAGAGTGTTGCTCTAATGCTGTTCATCTTGCGAACGACTTTGTGCACAGCCTTGTCTGTCGACAACCTCTCATCCTTGGTAACTTCCAAAACAGATTCTGCAATCGCTTGTTAGCACAGTGTACGCTAAATGACAGTAAATGTCCTAGACGTACCAATGTCATCACACCTCTTCTTGATTTTCCCAGCGACACGATCAACCAAGCTCATCAAGCTCACGCCCTTACGGCTGATTGAGCGCTTGACGCGAGAAGAAGATCCTTTCTTTGCCGGGGCTACAGTGACGCCTATGCGAGGTGTAGCAAAGTCTGGTAGACGACGAGCCTCAAGTGTCTCATCTCTAACGATGACTGTCTTGGACAGGGGAGCAGCCAAGACACCAGTGAAGAGCGTGACCGTGAGGAAGAGTGTCAACTTCATGATGAACCAATTACTCCGTAGCAGAAGAGGCAGAAGAAGGTTAGAATGAAAGATAGGAGGGATGAGAAGCAGAGCTGCCAGAGCTGAAGAGATCTTGGCATGGAGAGGACATCACAGCCTTATACTCCCAGGGACAAGCTTGACTTTGACTTGTATATCATCAACGGTATATCATCAACGCCGATCTTATCCTGATTCTACAGGGAAATATAAAGCTTAACTCGGGAGGATCTGCAAGTTCCTGAGGTAAAACCTTAGATTGGGCTGTAGCATTCCCCCCTGCGTTGAGGGAGAAAGAAAAGTAGCACACCATAAGCCGGTTGTGTTTTTCTTTTCCCCATCAAGCCTGCCCCAGGGTTCAGAAAAGCTTGTTGGCAGGGAGTAGATTAGAGAGTTTGGCGTAACCTGGTCTTGAGCTTTTTGGTATTGTGTGAGATGTCGATCGTCGCGGGTGATCAACGTAGCTAGGGATCTGGGCTCTGTTGGGTATGGGATGGGAGGAGTCTGGGCTGAAGGATATGAACGCAGCCTTCAGTATCCATAAATAATTTACGTGTGAATATATACTGTGTCGTAAAGTCTTTGTATCTTTCTGAAGATTGCAAAGATACTGATCGCAGTGTCACCGAGTTCTTCCCCATCCCCTCCGAAAGCAACCAAGTTGACTCCAATCTCTCTTTCACTCTATCATCTGCCAAGTCTTTTAATCCCTCACGACCAGTGACAGATAACCGTATTCTCGCATTCCCGTCCCCATCGCCGATCGCAGATCTTCAGAACCTGAACTACCGGATTAGTTCCCACCCACCCCCGATAAGCTTGCTTCTCCCTGAGACAGCCAACATTCCTCCCCGTCATATTCCCCCTAGCTCTACACACTTATGATCGTTTCAGGCATTTCGTGTTCGGCCGCCATGGTTTAAAATTGAATCATAGATCTCGGTTGTCTCGGCAGGAAAGTGACCTGTCAATCCGTTGATCTAGATGAGGCTTGATATAGAAATGGCTGCTTTTGGTATGGTGGGTGGGACGGGAAGTGAGGAGCCACCCATCTGTCGTTTGTAAAAGAGGTTTAGACGTTTTGATCGACGGGAATAGGGTATAGCTTAGCTTTGATGGGGATATGGACGAGGTTGTATCGTAGATTGTGTTTTTGCGAGGCGCGGATGAGGCTGAAGGCGGGTGTTGGGCTGATATCCAGCATCACTCCAAGCAGCCTCAACTCAGACTGCGGAGTGTGGACCTTCCGGAAAGACTCATCTCTCTGGTGCTGGCCAGGCCTTCTCCATGGATTGTAAGCCAAAGCAGATCTCTCCGATCTTGGCCCTGCAGGCGTCTAGTTCGTCGTTGTCTCAGCACCAAAAGGTTTCCGTCCATATACAACGGTCCTGTCGATCGTCAGCACACCCACATTCGCTCCTCTAACAAGGGCGCAACTCACGTCTCAACCCAAGCACATTTACTCTTATCCTTCATCTCCTTACGAAACAACCCCAACAACACCTGAACCTCCTCCTTATACCAACCCAGTAGATCCATGAGCAGCAAATTCGCATACCCTTCAATACTCTGCTCCAGAGCCTCTAGGAACAGTTCTCCTGCTCGTTTCAGTCTCTCGTCGCTGGCCCACGAGTGCATGGGCGCCTTGATCTTCTTTTCCACGATGTCGACGAAGCCTGCTGCTTTGAGATTATCGCGCATCGTGTGCCCCTTGCAGACGCCGAATGAACGGCCCATTTTCTGGCCGGCGGTGTAGAATGCGTCGGCCCAGACGTTGAAGACGTGGTCGGGGGGTAGCTTGACGTGATCTGACTGGAGCTTGACGTCCATTTCTAGATCTTGGATCCAGCCTCCTGGTGCGAGGTGTGTGTATGCCTTGCTGTATAGGTCGACCCAGTCGGGAACACTGCCATACATGGCGCGGATGTGGATAAAGTCGAAGTGGTCTTCAGGCCAAGTCCAGTCGAGCAGACAATCTTCAATTACGAACTTGACGTTTGGAGGGACCACGACTGGTTGGATGGGACTTAGATCTGTGCCTGTGACTTCAGCCTCTGGATACTCATCCCCAAAGTCAATAGCCCAAATCCCCGTGCCCGTGCCGATATCCAACACACGTTTCGGTTCTTCTATAGGCGCAAGAAACTGTTTCTCGTCAAGGGTATAGAACAGTCCAACATGCGTGAGGTCCAGGCCATGGTTCTGCTGCGCATCATTAGGCGCCCAATACTCAGTCGACTGAATATTCTCATACGTCCGCCCATAGTGCTTCCGGTACGCGAGAATACTGCTCGTTATCGACACCGTCGACATATCGCCAGAAATCGACTCGCCATCCTCATCATCAATCAGATCAGCCAGAATCTGCTCATTTGGCTCGATTTCCGGCGACGCGGACTCGGAATACACGTTAGGTGGTCCCATTGTGTTGGTGGCTTACTCAATGCACGTTTTGTCCCTGTCGGTAGATTGATTTGGAGAGGAAGAAGAAGAAAAATGACGCATTCTTCAGCTGTCGGGCGCTCTTTGGTCTTTTTACGTATCATGCATCGGTTACCGAACTATGCATTAATGATCTTCTATGCCCCGCAGGGATCTGAGTCTGAGACAAAGATGACATGTCTCATTTTGAGAAGCACGATGAAGTGTTCGTCACAGGGATCAATCACCACCAACATACATATAGCTGAGATGAGTAATTATTATCTGTAAGGTACAGTACAGCTGATGTCATGGAGTGACGCAAGTTGACTTAAAAGGTATTCGCATCATGGAACGAGGACTGCTTCTTCATTACTCTACTCTACTATACTTGCAGGCGATCAATAAGGACCAGAAACGGGGAGCCGGAACAAAGGCTTAGCTGAAAAGCCTCCAAAAGCAATGTTGTCAGGCAGCAGTCTCGCTTTTCTTCCAATCTTTGTGAATTGCTTAAGCCACTCCAATCAGATGGAGGGAATACCTAAGCGGTGCATAAGCCACACAACACCAAGAAAGCTCACGATGCACTGCAGCAATGTGCAGAACTAGAGTCAAGCTCCTATGCGATGGACCAATAGCCTAAAGGAGAAAAGTAGCGGGCTCGTAGGAGTAAGCTGCCATGAGCAAGTTGTTCAGACAGATGCTCGTCCTTCACACAAACATTCCTTTGATCTTGGAAGGATTGGGCGCAAAAGTAAATAACTCGTGCATCAATAGCCTCGACTAGTGAGTTTAGTTCAAAGTCATCGGTGTTATAGCAATTACAATAGCAAAAGACCGCGGGTTTATAGGCTATATCTAACCTTGAGCCCAAATTCATACCTGTCAGCTAAAGAGCTTGGCTCGCACTAAGCGTATGCCACCCCCGTACCGGGCCCGTGTTAATTTCCTATTCAGGCAATGCACTCAATACTTCATCACCGACTTATTCTTGAACATAAAACTTCACTGTAAAAGACAAAATGATTCCTCAAATATCTCACATTGAATATCCCCCACAGGAGGCTACCCGTACGTAAATATCTACATCAAATGAATAATATATACCCCGTCCAAGAAAACAAACAACATCCCCAAGAAGCTTATACGCACACACTTCACCGCTTATACTCAAGCAGTGCAAGCAGGAGCGTCAGCAGTGACGGTGACGTAGTGGGTCTCAGCAGCAGAAACGGTAACATATGAAGTCACGATGGTGTTGCTACCAGCATTGTTGTTGCTGCTGCCGGCATTGCCATAGTTGTTGTTGCTGCCAGCGTTGTTGGAGCCCTTGGAGCCGGAACCAGTCTTGTCAGATGAGCTCTGTCCAGTGGACTTGGGCACGGGGTAAGCGTTGTCCTGAGTCTTAGTAACTGCGGCGGTGTTAGCGGCTGCGGAGATTCCTTGGGCGGTGTTGCTGGGTGTCGCGGGTTGGGTGTCGTACTCATCACCATCGTCGGCAGGGCACTCCTCGTCATCATCACCGGTATCGGGCTCCTCATCCTCATCGCAGTCCTCGTCATCACCGGTCTCAGCGGCAGCAGAAGGGGTGGGCTCGTCCTCATCATCACAGTCCTCATCGTCGCCCTCGTCAACGGGCTCCTCATCGCAGTCCTCGTCGTCGCCGGCATCGGGGGCAGTGGCAGTGGGCTCGGGAACGGCGGTGGTCACGCTCTCAAAGATGGGGCCGAGGGCGGAGGAAGTAACAGCGACGGCCTCGAGAGTGGTAGCGCTGGGCTTCTCAGCAGCAGGGGCGGAGGTAGCGACGGGGGCAGCAGAGGCAGCGGAAGAAGGCTTGGTGGAACCAGATCCGGAGCCAGAGCCAGATCCAGCGCCGACGACAAAGTCAACGCAAGACTCGTAGGTCTGGTTGATATCAGGAGCATCCCAGAACCACTGGAGAACACAGTCACCAGCCTTGGTGCACTCACCACCCAAGCTCTCAGGAAGAGTGACGCTGAAGGCAGTGTTGTTGGGGTTGAGACCAGCGTTGGCAGCATAGTTCTCAAACTCGATAAGAGGCTCTCCGATCATCTTATCAGTGGAGGTCTTGACAACGGAGACGTTGGCATAACCGGTATGAGGAGCAGCGATGGTGACATCAAAGTCAATCTTCTCGCCGAGCTTGTAGCTCTGGACATTGTCCTTGTTGTCGTCGAACTGGAAGCCCTTGCACAGCCAGAGGTTGCAGTCCTTGGCGTCAAAGTCGGATCCGACGACCTGCTTGATGCCCTGGACGTTGCCGTTGATGTCGGCCGACTGCTGGTAGAAGGGCTGCTCGCCGCAGGCAGCCTTGAAGGCATTGCCGGGCTTGCGGGGAGTAGGAGACTTGACGAAGCCGTGGGCGGCGACGAGGGGAAGAAGAGTAAGAAGGGCAGCGGCGTTCTTCATTTTTGCGGTAGATATAAAAAGTCTTGAAATTTGGGTAGAAAGTTTGGGCTTCGTGAGAGTCTCTAGGACCAGATGTTAAAAAGAGTGAGTTTTGTTTGAATTGAACGGCCGTCAAGGCTCTGAACGAAAGTGAATGTTTGGAATGAAAG